TCTCATCTGTTGCATCCACTTTCAATTTGATTTGTATTCGGATGAAAAATGAGAGTAATTTGTTTAAGAAGTTCTGCCGCTGTGCTTCCAAAATCAATAGATTGCGTCATTCAAGATTATGATTTATTAAAAAATTTCCTTTGAAATTCGCTCATCATATTGATTTTTTTTTTGAAAAATGGAGTGAGTATTTAAATCATTTAAGATTTATTCAAAACGCATAATTAATGCCTTTAAGGGGAATTTGTGGTAAATAGGTCAAATCTGTCTCGATAATAATTGTTCAAGTATTCACGACAGCATGTTTTTGTGATAAGCAGTTTTTAAAGGAAAAAATCTATTCAAAAGTAATATTACTCCCTCTTTTTCATTTCAAATATACAACATTGTTGCAAAAACTAAGAATAATTATTTTATGTTGCTAAAATATTTTAAATCAAATAAAATTGACGCAACTTTTTTGGTATTATATAATAATCAAACAATGAATTTGAATAAATTTCAGTCCAGGTAAATCCGCTTAGAATGATGAACATTTATAGTGAAGTTCATTAAAAATAATTACTTTAATTGGCTTATTGATCTGTAGAATATTAGTGCACTATTCAAATACATTTCATGCTGAAGATAAGAGAACTACAAACATTTTAGGTCCTACAATGGTATTATATGAATACAGTAATTCCATTATAAATTAAAATTCCACTGATAGCTAGCTTTCCATTAGCATAAGTACACATATGTACATGTATATTTCATATGCTTCAAATTTCTGTTGACCTTCAAACACATTTCTCCAACATTTTCATTGTTACAGCATAGATAACACACAGAGTCATATGTAAACGTTAAATAGTTATTCGCATTGAATAACATAAAAACATCAATCATTTAAACAGTTTTTAACAAAATTGTATTCTATTCACATTCATTTTTGCTTTTAAAAAGTAATTTTCATGTTTTCATTTTAAACCGCAAAATAAATGTACACGAAGTGCTGAGAGGCATCCACTTATACAAGTATAACAACGGAAAGAAGAAAAAAAATATTCTTTTACTTCATCTCGCTGCTCACATTGGAATTTACTCTCATGATCGCATTTTCTTATACATGAATCTTAAACATTGAACACAAACATATAAAACTTTAAGAGGAAAAAGTAATATAAATGAAAGAAATAGGTGAAGAAGGAGTATTATGTTTGAATAAAATTGTAGAAGATTGTATTACTTACCAGCTAGAAAGATCTGTAAAGATCCCTGCTGTCAAAAATGTTTAATTTATTGTGAGTAATCCAAAAACGATTTAAATCTTTGTGTGCACTAAAATTCGATTTGTAATGTTGAAAAATATATCTCAATACTTTTTTACTTCCACAAATTAAAATATTTGAACTAAATATTTGCCAAGCCTAATTTTCTTTCTCTTTCTTTCGTTCACTTTTTAAAATTCTTATCACCAATATTTTACTAATGAAGTTGCCAAAAATATGCTTTTGGGGTTTTCTTTTTTTTTCTTCAAAACCTACAACTTGATAACATCCAATTATTTTATGATGCGCGTGTAGCCACTATTTTTTGTAAATTTATTTTTATTTTTCTTCTATTTTAATTTTTTTTATGTGATTAAAGCACTTATAAATTTTGGGAATTAACAAGTTGATAACTGAGGTATTTAGAAAACGATGACGTCGAAATGTGTTATTCACTTATGGGGCATAGAGGAGAAGTACAAAATTGTACAATACAACATAAACACAAAGGTATTAAAATGTGCATAAAATTTATTTCAGCTTTGTGTACGTGAACTTTTTACTGGCTTCATTTTTTCCATTGCGCTTATTTAATATTTTTTTCCTTATTCTCTCTTTTTTTTTGGAAATTGGCTTCTTTCACATTTCACAAAAAACGGAAATTTCCTCCTTGAAATTAATCAATTTCTTTTGCATTTTGCCAACACTTTTTTAATATTATCAACGAAACATACACGGATATAAGCTATATTACTTAAAACAAAAAACAATTGACGAGAAATATTCAACTAATTTCACTTTGCCGTTGTTCATATAAAAAACAAAAATTCTTCTCCATGGACCATCGTTTTCTTATTTTTTGATCACTTCTTTTGCTGTTTAACGGTCTTCAACAAATACCAATTCACAATTGAGTATTTTTTTTCTCTTTAAAATTTTGTAAAATGTATTTAAAATTAACACGTATTAGGAATTTAATAATTTTTAAGTATTAATAAGTAAGTTAACTTCACGAACCATACATTTTAATTATTAAAAAACGTACAAGAATAGAAATAAAGAACTTTACTTAAACTCAACCGATATTGAGCCAATATCAAATACTAACTGAGAAACAGAGTAAAAAAATTATAAGCGCTTGTGAGTTAAAACACGACATATACTAAGACCAACAAACAATTAATTGTAGTTTTCGCTCGATTTCTTTTACGTTTCCATTCAAAAAGTCTCGCTCGCTAGAGTTTTTTATGTGTTTTATCGGCCATACTCGAAAGGTATGTATGTTGAATTTGAAGAGCTATGTAAGTTAAAAGAGAAAAAAGAGAATACACGCGAAAGTATATGAATTAAAATATCTTTGACACAGAGAGGCTCTAGTTCATGTTTTGTGGACGGTTATACCTTTCTTAATTCTTCATACAACCAGCCAGCACTATTGTAGACTCTCTATGGAGAATGCAAAGAAATAACAGAAAAAAAACTTTAACACAAACAAAAAAAAAATGCTTCAGGTGTATTAAAGCATTGTTTATCGATTTACTTATATTTTGGTAACAATGTTTTTTTTTTACTCTTCATAATTCTTCATTCGTAAGGAAACACTGGCACCATTACACAGAAACCCTTCAATTTTATGGATATGTGATATTTCGTATTAAATATTTCTGATTCACCTGTACACAATTGGGAAAATTCCTCACAAAAATTTAGTTCATGTAACACTTATACACAGACAATCAAATTCGTTTTCAATCAAAACAGGAATGCTTTAGGATTATTCTATCGTGCATTCCAAAAATATTAATTATAAATGTGAAGCATATTGCAGAACAGTTTTTTTTTTCTCAAAATTATTGTTATGAGCGTAAGATATTTTTCAGAAGTCTGCTAAGTTCAAAGATAGCCGCAAACTAGAAAACAAATGAGCTTAAATATTTTTATATAAAGTCTGGATTTTTCATTGCCTTTCTATGAATCATCTAATTGTCCTTTTTAATGCAACATACAAGGAGAATTTAAAGTTTATGTGAAGAACAATTTAAAGGATAAGGGTATTTTACTTAATGCTTGTTTAAAATTAAAAAAAAAATTGAGGTTGATATTAAGGACATAAATTCAAAATTTTCAAGCTTTAAAATACAATAATCATTTACTCTGTGTCTTATATTGTTGTATAAAATATTTGTATTTATTAGTATTTGAACTGATTAAAATATTTTACGCCCATTTAAATGAGCATCTATAGTTGAGCATATTTCGAATAGATGGGTGTGTAACTCATGATTCTGAAAAAGGAGTGTAATATTTTATTTCGAATATGTAATAAGTTTATACTCACGAACTCATATACATAATGTTTTCTTTAAATAGGAAACCTAAAAAATGAAATGAATGAAATTGATAGTTGATTTGAGTCAAAAACTTAATTAATTTTGTTTGGAAATTCCTATCCAAATTTAATTAGTTTTAAATACAACGTTTTTTTGGCATAAATGAAATTAGAAAACACTTGGTTTGTTTGATAGCTAGTGTATGATCTCGTCATGGCATGGTTGGCAGAATATCATACAGCCGCAAAGTGCTGCTTCTATATACTCCATATCGTAGCACAATTAAATACATAGCTTACAAATCTTTCAATACCTATAGCTGATTATCTTTTTGTATGATAAAATAAATATTCAGATCACTACATTTTAAAAGTTTTCTAATCCAGATGCGTAATGATGCACTTTCACTAAATGGGATTCTTCGCTTGTTTCTCCATAATATCCACCATAGATGAATATAATAATATATGACACTTGACATATTGAATAAGCACTTTTATAAAAGGAACACTTCTGGCTTCTAATTAATTTTCAAAATGTTTGATGTTGAAATTTTCTATAAGAGCACTGATATCGTGATGGTGCTAGGAAAAAACGTTTTCACCCATTCACCAATCTGACATCAGTTCTCTGTAGAAAAGGAACCTATATGAACATAATTAAAGTTTTATGATAACATTTTCTCTCCTTTATATTTAATTTATGCTATGTAAAGTATTTACTGACATCAAACGTAGCTATTGAGTTCATATATGAAACTGAATTAAAAAAACCGAAATGACTTGAATTTTATGAAAGCTTTCATGCTACAAATGACAAAATAAATACAAAAGATTTTTTTTTTCATACGTTGAATTACAAACATGACTGTGTATAAGGATGAAATTTAATCTGGTGCAGTCAACAATCAAATCTACCTACCTTGAAGCTATTTTCAAATGTTACAGTGTGGTTTCATTTGTTACCACATAATATGTAGCTGAAAATCTTATACTCAAATATAATTGTTTGAAATTAGATCTGAATGTGTGACATTTTCCTATTTAGTTGTGGAAATCTTATATCGTATCATGTTTCAATTTTAAATAGAATTTTACTAGTGAACCATATTCCTTAAATGATATTTTAGTGTGCTGTTGAAAAATGTGTATGAAAACATCAGGATACATAATCAGCAATTGAAATGTTGTATTAATGTAGGGGTAGAGAAAATGCTAAATGATATACTTCCAACATTCATTTGAAGAACTCGCACGAAAATTTTATAATTTACGTAGTAATCCAAGCGAGTCCTTGATATTAAAATTACAGTTGCAGTGACCAGTGAATTGTTTTTTTTTTTATATTAGTTCAAAACAACAAATGTTATTGTTAAGAAGTTTATTTTACAACAGAACAAAAATTTATTTAACGTATAATGGGTTCAGTGGCTGATTTGATTAATAAATGTGATGCATTGTGTAAGGATATAGATTTTGAAATAAATAAAATACAAAATTCAGCAAAATGTGAGCCTCAAAAATACAACTTTTGTGAAAACTTTTCCAAAAATTCGAAATATGAGAAAAATATCGACTGTATTTTAAGTGCAGCTAAGAAAATAGATGAAGATGTAAAAGCAACTGCTGGAAAAAAGGTTAAAAAAAAGAAAAATTATCAATCCCAAAAATCTTTCATGCCACCAATTTGGGATGAGAAAAAACTTAATTACTACGTACAGAATATATTGAATGATATCATGACATCGCCTGTCGAAGAGACAAAAAAAGATGTTCTAGACACAATAGAAAATAAACCTAAAGACCTTGAACGCACAACAATTTATGTCGAAAACAAAAATGATATGAAGAAAAACCCAATAAGAAACGTTGGAACGAATATCCATTTTTTAATTCACGGCACAGAGGAAAACAATTTAAATGTGAAACAGAATTTAGGCGTGAGAAGAATGAATAGGAAAACTCAGACAAGCTATGGAAACGACTTGAAAATTGGAGTTAATAAAGCGAATGAAAAATCATTTCCTCAAAGGGTCGAACGCGTTGTGAATAATGACGAAGTTGTTAATGTAAATTTCAAAAAGCACTTCAATTTACCAAAGACCCCTCAACAACTTGCATTTTCAGCTACGACATTCACATCTACACATGGACATAAAAAATCAACCAAGAGCGATGATATTATACATGTTGTCGGCAGTAACCTAGAAACAAATAAAACAAAACAAATGAGTGCAGTATTTCTTCCTGTTATATCAATAAAGAGTAAATGTTGCATACAAAAAATTTACAATTTTGAAGTTTCGCCGGCTGTTACATATAGCAAGGAATGTACTAAACCCAATGTAAAATTTGTTGAGTTGAAAAGGTCGACCAATTGTACTGAGTATCAAGAAAAAGCTTCACAAATTATACAGGATGAAGAAAATACAACAGGAGAAGCGACTCAAAGCAAAAACACGCTTATCAATATCCAAGACGTGAAGAATGTATTGCGTCATCATAAAGTCAACGTTGATGATGGAAAAATTCATATCATAGTTGAGAATGCTAGAAAAAAGGACACTAAGAAAAAGAACAAAATAAAAAGACCGAAGGAATTTAAAAAATTTGGACAAAAAAGGATTGAGAATAAGAATGTGTTGCATAAGCAAGCATTGCCTGTTTCTAACGATGATAATGAGACAATTAAATGTGAAGCAGATTCATCATCTTCATTTATTGATGATGATAGGAAGTTATGTGACATATTAAAGTTTTATGGTGAAATGAATGAACCGAAGAAAGAGGGCAATAAAGATGAAAATTTATTATCACAAGAAGACAGGTACACAACTTATCCTTATCCTACCAACACATCTTCAAATGAGACTCATAATAATTTGATGATAAATGAGGTGAAGAAAGGCAATGATCTTGAATATAATAATATTACCGAGAGCTTTCAGTCAATTTATAAATTAATCGAGGATACATTTCAATCAAATGTTGTGGAGACGAAAGTCTACAAGAATGAAGAAGAAAATGGAGTGAGTGAAATGAATCAAGTCATAAAAATGTCAGAAGAAAATATCAAAAAAGCAGAAATGCTCCTTCAAAAATACCGGATTACAAAAGACGAAACGTATCCGTTTACTTTAGATAAATCACAAAGATCTCCTCACAATTCGATGACAGAAGAACCTAAAATATTTCATGTAAGCCATGAGGTCGATTCAAATTTTAAAATGCATGATAAGAGAGATGAACATAATGCCAATAATTCATGTCATTTTGAAAAGACATCTGCTAAGGATATGAATGAAGGATCATTAATTCATTGTCAAAACTACGCGACATTTAATGAAGAATTACAGAATCGAATGAAAGAAAAAATTGAGACATCTGATTCGTGTGTTCAGACAACAAGCGATAAAGCACTTCAAACTGATGACAATATTAATTGGAAGTCGAGATTTTATTTTAAATCTATTTATGAAAATTACAGTAATATCGACTTTGATAAATCAAAAGTTTCGTCAGTAAGACCAAAAACAATGATTCAAAATGTTGATGAAAATGTCAATAATTCAGGTACGTAAAAAAAATTTAAAAATAATATAAATTAACTGATTAATTTATTCGTAGTCGCTTACAATTCAATTTACTCAAATGATGACGAAATTTTAAAAGTAGCCAACATATTTTTGAGATCGATTGAAAAGAAGAAGAAGAAGAAGAAAAATTCTGCTGAAAATTCCTTCAATGATTACAATTCTCAAAATTTAATAGAATATTCTTCATCTACAAGTTCGCATGTAAGTGACATACTATATCCAAATAATTTAAATCATGAAAGTTCCAATGAGAGCAACTCTGAGAAACCTTCAACATCTCATCACAATTTAAAATATACTAGCTCTGATGGCGAGTTGTTAAGCTTGGGAGAAGTTAAAGTTTATTCATCATTGAGCGACGAAAGTTCAATTGATTTTTAAAATACAATAAATATAAAGTTGTCTAATTTTTTATATGTAATTATTTTTTTTATTTTTCTTATAACGTATTTTAATTGCTTTGAATGACTGAATATCGAAAGTATTTAGGGGGATCATTTCTATGACAAAATTAAAAGTATCGATATCGAAACCTTCTCGAGAAAAATACAACATTCAATTCATTGAATTATTTAAATATTTTCAAGATTACGAAAGCATTATTAATCTATACATACTTTTGATTTTCTTTATTAAATATTCAGTTGTGATTGTAAGACATATTGAAAAAATTGGATTTGAAACAAAATAAAAGATCCTAGAAATCTTGTGAAAGATTAGCTTAGCGTACTGTGAAAAAATATATGAATGGTTAAAATAATAAGTGTATAATATTCAATTATATAATTGAATCAAAAGAATTAATTAAGAGAAAGAAAAAGAAAAACAAAAATTGTAGTCTAAAAAGAAAGAACAAAGTAAACGAATCACATATAAAGTGTAGCTTAAAAATTTATATCAAAGTGATAATTTTTTTTGAAAAAATTGTAAAATAACACAAAACTTTGCATATCTCTATTGTTTTCACTTTTTGTGTGCATATTTGACAGGAAATTTGTGAAATTTCGCTTAAATGTAGTAACTTGTCATTATGAATTCCGACTGTTTACTACAAGATCAAGAAAACATTTCAGATTCTGAATCTTCAGAAGCTACAATTCTTTCTTCAAATGAAAGTTTTAGTGAATCTGTTCCAGAAAATTGTGAGGTTGCAAAAATTTTAGATCATAAATTACAGCTTCCAAAAGATTTGTGCGAAGACGGTCAAATTTTTCATGAACTTTTTTCAACTTCTACTTGGAATGGATTATCAAATGAAGAAAAAGAGCATTTAACAAAGTTTCTTCCTGAATTCCCTGAAAACTCCAAACGAGAGCAGGATAACACCGTGCAGTTGCTATTTTCAAATAAAATATTTCGATTTGGACAAACACCACTTGATCAGTTTCATGCAAATCTGCAAGATGGTAATTACCGTCCAGATATTGCTCATTATAGAAAATGTATTTTGAAGGAAGAAGAACGAGACCAACGTATACGTGAATGTGAAAGAATAAGTTTATTGGCAGAAAAAATGGTAATATCTCGAGAAAAGCAACTAAGATATGCTTATACATCTGGAGATACTCATCTAAATTCAGATGATAAATTATCACGTTCAAAACTGTCAGCTTCGATTGCAGCAATGCGTGGAAATAAAAGATATTTTCAAGAGCTTCTTAAAGTCTTTGACGAGTTAAATTATTCATTATCAGATGATGAAACTATTCCAAATAGATCCCATCTACAACTGACAAAGAAACAAATTAAGCAATTTAGTGATCAGGTTTGTAGATTTTTGTTGCATAAAGATAATTTATTAATTTTCTATTTTTTATATCATTTTTTTTTAGGATAATGTTGAATCTGTAGCCGACTTTAGAATTGTCAGCACGACATCAACAAAGGAAAAAAATTGGGATCATATGACAGAATCAATAATATCCAATGAAAAATATAAACAAATGTTAAGGAATTTTAGAAAGAGGAAAAACATAGAACCAGTAACTTTAAATTATTATTTCTTGTTACTTTACATTAATATTAATATTTAATTTTTAAGGATCATGCTGAAATGGAAATAGGCGAAATTAAACTCAAAGAAATAATATCAAGGTCGAGTCTTTTAAATTCGAGGAAGATTTTAATTGGAAACAGTTGCACAATTTCGAATAAAAAGCCATCAACAAGTGATTCTATTAGAATAAAGCAAGAGACATCTACAAAACCTATTATCAACTTAGGAATAGCAGCAAAGAATCAAATTCAGAAGCCACAAAATAAAAATCTTTGTAAGGTTGATGTCCAAGAAAAACCATTAAAATTAGGATCACAAAGTGAAACGGATGAAGAGGATTGGATTAAAGCGAACATTATCAAGATTGAGCCGAATGAAAATTCAACGCAATCAAAAGGAAATATGAAATTAGAACAGAAAGTTCAAAAAATACAACAGAAAATGAAAATTCCGTATCAACAACAGCAGCAATTAGCTAATACTAATGTTTTTAACAGAAAGAGATCAAACATTGACAATGTTCAACCTAGGGCTGGTAAAAAAATTATCATAGATGCAGGAGGTATCGTAAAACCATCTTTTATTACAAAGAATATGTCTACAATTCAGAATAATATTTCAAAGAAAAATTTAGTCTTGGATACTTCAATAAATACTGAATATGAAGTTGTTGAATACTCTCCCGAAATGACTCATGATACTCAAAATTGCTTTTTGAGTTTGATAAGAGACATTTTTTGTTCCACCACTGATCATCGAATTAAATTAGAGGAATTGCGAAAAAGAATAAATGTTTGGTTAAAAAATCCTGTTGCATTAACAAACATATGGTTCAAAGATGTAGAGCAATGGGGAAGCTTATTAATATCGGCAGTTCATTTTTTATCTGGCGAATTTTTAGATCAGCCACAACATTTTGTACCTTATTTAGAATTTAAATCACAAATGAACATCTACCAATGGATAGGTGCTGGTCGTGATAGTGATGCAAGAATGTTGAGTTTAAATCAATATTGGTTAAGCCGACGTAATGATATGGGAATAAAAGCATCAAATGCATTAAAACAAAAACCATTTACAAAGATATTGACAAATCCTGAAAAAAATGAAAGCAATTATCTCTTACAAAGTATTTCACCACCAAACCATCGCTGTAGATCAACATGGAAGGTTCAATGTCCTACAAAATCAGAACTTGCTGAATTTCAAACACAAGAGCAAAAACGATATGAAAATCCATACTTTCCTTTTATTTATTATCAGCACGGTTATGAGAGTGTTGTTGGTCCATTACGTGATATGCATTTACCTGTATCAGTTATAACAAAAGCGAGAGATAATAATATATTAATACCTGATCGTCCTAATTATATTACTACCGTGGCCATAGTTAGAGATGCAATTGCCAGATTGCCTAATGGAGAAGGCACATTTGATGCCATTTGTGAACTTGTAAAATATAGCAAATTTTTAACATTAAATCTAAGTGAAAATGTCATAAGATCTTTTGTTAGTACAGCACTAGATACAATAAGCTCTGAAAATCATGACTCTTCTGCTAAATTTGATAATAAAAGAAAGTTATGGGTTTATATGCATCGTAATCGTTCGGAAGAAGAATTTGAAAGAATATATCAACAACAACAAGGAAATATCAAACCAAAGAAAGCCGCGTATAGAAAAATAAATCCAATGGAAAATATTATTCGAGTATCAACAAACAATTCAGGCAATGGAAACTCAACAGGAAGTGCCACAACAATCAAAGTTTCAAAAGTTAATACCGATTCTGAAATGATGCAACAAATGCCAGCACTTGCAGCTTTTGAAACCAAAAAAATTAATCAAATGCATTCGTCACCTCCACCATTGAAAATTTCCCCAAAGAGATTTATTAAAACTGTTAATAGTGATAAATCGATTGAAGCTTTTGATGTTGAGGCTTCTTTAGATGCACATACTACACCTATAGTGAAAGCATCAGATAGTAAAACAAGTCGTGTAATACTTAAAGCAACTCCCCAAATGTCACAGTTACAAACAAATAATTTGATGATGGGTGCAATAAGTGCTGGAAGGTCGCAATCGACCAAGGTTACGACAGTTTTAGGATCAAAAAAAATTATTGGTAAGCCAGTAACTATCGGACAAAATGAAACAATTTCAATTGTCAGCCAGTCAAATCTATCTAATAACTCAAACTACATAGTAACTATGAGCCCATCGAATGGAGACAGATTAAAATCTAGTGAGCCTCCAGCACTGCAAGCTACATCACTGCAGCAAGCCAAACCTACAATGTCACAAAAGAGTTTTGTAATGGTCAGCGCGAATAATGAAAAAATGTCTCTGTCACAACAGTCTCAAAAATTTATAATAGCATCTTCAACTCCTCAACTAGGCAATCAAAAAGGTGGAAAAGTAATAACGCTCCCAAGAAATCAAACGCCTATGTTATCACAGCAAAAACAAATTTTAACAAATGTTATTGTTCAGCAGCAGAAAGCAAAATCTGGACAGCAAATCATGCTTTCTGCAAACAATACACAAAAGATTCCAATTTCAATCAACTCCTCAGTTCAAACGTCTTCGACACCAACGACAATTATTCAGATTCAACAACCATCAACTTCAATAACAAATTCAAATCTAAATTCAACAAAATCTACCGTTTTCCAATTAAGACAACTTAAACAAGATGGTAGTCAACAAACTATGATTTTGAAACCTCAAATAATCAAAAATGTTGGTTCGAATAGTGACTTGCCAGCTCCTCCATTGATTGTGAATAAAATTTTGAAATCAACTGCTAACTCAGTTTTACAAGGATCTCAAATAATAACAACAACAGCTCAAAAAATGTCAACAGAAACAACAAACAGTCCAATATTTGCTCGAGTTGTTTCTTCAGGTGGTCGACAACTGATAGATGGAATTATGCCGAAAAATGCTGGAACATTCAAATTAGCAGGAGCCGGTGGAGTTCAACAAAATGTGCTTCAAATTTCTGGTTCACCCCAATACACAGTAGTTTCCAAAGGAAAAACTATTGTGTCACCAAGCACAAAAATCACAACTTCTAAATCCAATACAACGACAAATCTGACACCAACTCAAAATATATTGATAACCAGCCATACAAATAATAGCAATCAGGCAATCATGCAATCATCATCTCATGTTCAACATCAACCACTTAAGATTGTTCAAGGTGGAACAATAACAGCACAACAATTGCTAAATGCTAAACTTATTAATGTTCAAGCATTGGGAAATAAAGGTTTTAAACCATCCAGTGGTATTAAGTGAGTTGTAATTGTCAAATTTATTTTGATTCGAAAGTTTAAATTTATTTGTAATAACTGATATAACTCAAAATCTATTAATAGGATGCTGAATAGTCAAGGATATATAACAAATTTAGGAACTAAAACTGGTGGTGTTCCAATAATAATTGCTGGAAAAAGCACAAATCAAGCTTCGACTAACCAAACTGGACAAGGAATAGTTTTGCAAGCAAATTCTTCGCAAAATAATACTTTCATTCTGAATTCGAACCAAACAACATTAAAAATGCAAGGAAATATTATTAGCCAGGTAGTGATTTTAATGATTATAAGGAATTTATTTCTAGTACTTGAATCCTAGATATGAAGTGATCAATATTCTTTTTTAATAAATTTTGTCAAATTAGCCCCAGCAAACAGTTGTATTAGGAAATCAAGTACTAAAAGTGCAGTCATTGAATCAAATGCAAGCTCAGAAGCAAAGCACATCTTCAGCTAAGTCAAATACAGAAACTGTTGTTTTAGCAACCAATTCTGGAAAAAATCAGACAATCAACAACCCATCGTCACCTAATCAAGACGGAAAACAGATGAGTGTAACAAATTCATCAGGACAACAAATTATTTTGGGATCTACACTCAAAGTCTTGAAGGTAAATTTTTTTAATGTTTAAAAATCATTATATACAGTGAGAGCAATTTATCATTATTTTTATTAGAATATGATCAGTAAGAACAATAATATGAGTCAACAAACAGCGAGAGTTGTTTTAACGCCATCTTCTGGTTCACAAGGAGGCCAATTTGCTCAACAAATCATTCTTCCAGCAAACTTTCAGGGAATTAAAACACTTAAAGTGATTCAACAAGGTATTTAAAACTTTCTCACAGCAATATTCAAAATTAGTCATGAAATTTTTTTTCACAGCTCGATTAGTACAGAATAATGTAGGCAATACAAGTGGAGTGGCTGATAACAAAACAGTTACGCTAGCAAATAATCAAGACGAAGGAACAAATGAGTAGAATTATCAATTGGAGTCTAAACTTACTTGGACCAATATATATTTTCGAGGACTTATAATTATTAATACTAATTCAAGGTGTAAAAATCTCAAAATATTTTTTATATTTTTTCCTGCATTATAAAATATAAGCCTTTTTTTTTTGAAAAAAAAAAACTAATATTATTAATTGATTCATTATAATGTTATAAGCAGTTCTTTTTGACAATTGTTATAAAAAATAAAATTTATACTTATTTATTGATAATAAAGTTGAATAAAAGAGGAAAATGTGAAAAGAATTTCAACACCCTCAACAACTGTTCATATAAACAAATCTCTTTTTTTTCTCATTAAAATGAGTTGAAACACATCCAATAAGCATGGAATGTATTTTCTCAATCAACCCGAATATGTCTTGTAGGAAATTCTAAACAAAAATCGTTGTTTATAAATTATGCATATATTTGTATTTTTTTATTCATTTTCTCAGTTCTCTGTATCTTCTAATGATCAGTAACAACATCAATTTCTGTATCTTCTTCATCGCTACTTGTAAATTGTTCGTCATCGTCATTTACATCTGAATTTTCATGAGAATTTACAATTTTTCCACTGATTGTAGTGCCACGAGTAGAATGACGCCATTTCATGCGACGATTCTAATTGAACAAATAAAACATTAAAAAATCAACGAGAATATTATTAGAGTGAGCATGAAATTTACCTGAAACCACACTTTTACTTGAGAATCTTTTAATCCTAATCTTGCTGCCAATTTTTTTCTATCAGGTTTAGTAATATATTTTTGAAATTCAAACTGACGCTCTAATCCTTTCCTTTGAAGATTTGAAAAGACTGCTCTTGACCATGATCGTTTTCTCTTTACATTTCCATTTGAAGGTATCATCCCTATGACTTTCTCTGCATCTGATGCTGTTTTTACCATTTTTTGATTTAGATACTGTGCTGCACTTGTGTTGGGTGATAACTGGGCGATTGAAGGTAATCTTAGAATATTCTGATAAACATTTATGGCAGAATAATTTGAAGAAGAATTTGATAAATCAGTCATCGACACTTTTCTAAGACTTGATTGAAAATAACTCGGCGGTTGATGCATATATCCTGTAATAAATTTTCAATGAAATATGAATGTATATTATTGCTGTTAATTGCTTCCTGTTCCTACGTTCTTAAATTTCTTTGATTTATATCGCTAATAATGTAAATAAACATATCAAAAAATTTAACTTTGCCATTATTAGACTACTTTTTGAATGAATGTAGGGATATCATAAAAATTTAAGTAGATTTTTAAAATAAGCTTTTTAAAAAATGATAAGAATAATTCGCTTATAGTTTGCTCTTAAAATTTCTTTTGATCGCAAGAAAAAAAAATAAATTTTCCAAATATTTATTCTCAATTAACAAACGAATATTACCTCTTTATGCCTTTCATTTTAATTTTTTCCACCAAAATCTTTTCAAGACTCATGATCAAATATAAACAAATAATTAAAATTTTCTTCAAAAGCTTTTCATTTTTCATTTGATTCTACTCAAAACAAACATGCATTTAGACTAGTTTTGACTTACTGACCGTCCGGAACATTTCGAGTTTTCAGTGGTAAGTTTCATGAGTGATTTTCATTAACATGTATGGAATTTTGATATTTTCCAAACATTGTAAATTTGAAATTTTAGTACATAGAAATTTAATTCAAACTTATTGAAACTGACTTGAAAATTATCTGTGATTTATGCGTCGACTCGTTTCTGTTTCTTCCCAAAATTTCTTTACCTTTGAATTTTATACTTTAGTGATCATGAAATTAGTTTCAAATGTGTTACGAGTTTAATGAAAGGTCAATTAAGTTTTCATTCATTGGTCGTATTAATTAAGCGTAGAGATATTTTTTTATTATCCTCATTAATAACATTATTTGAACTCAAATTTTGTTACTGTATCCTATGTTTGAAGTGTATCCGATTTCAATAAATAAATATACCGTCGGATTATTTAAATACATTGTTATAAAAAGTTAATTACATATTTTGATCTCTGTTTGACACATATTTTATGAGGTTTAGAATTTCAAATATTAAACATGTCGAAACAAAACAAATTTGAAGTATCTGGAATCTTTTTTTTTTGCAGACTCTTTCAAATTTAATCAAAGCAATTATAAGGCTTTTTGAGAATCAAGTTTTATGTGACTCGATTACAATACACGGACTCACACTGCTTGAGTGTTTATTAAAAGGTTTTTATTTTTGATGAAAGTTTAAATTTAAAATTTCTTTAAATACCAGAACGTATTGAACTGCTCGATTCAAGTTAACGTTAAAAATTGTCTCAAAATATTTTTAATCATTTGAAGTCTAATCATATGATTAATAAACAATTTAAAAAAACTTTTTAAGGATATTTTATTTTTTTTTGTCATAAACCATTTAATTAATTTAAGAAGTAAGTTTTAAATTTCCTACTGACGAATTTAATATTCTTTACATCCCACTGAGTTATTTTCTGTTGTTATAAGAATTAATCAACATTCCAAGCTAAACATGACTTTTATATATTTTTCAATCATTACTATTATTATCATCATGATTGGAAATCTGATCCTAATAAGTCGTCAAATTCAATTTAATTTCATTCATTTTTAAACATTTTGACAAAAAACAATTTTTTGGAACAATAATAAAAGTGCGTGAATAAATTCAGTAAGTTATATTTTTGCTCCATTAATTTAACACCAACCTGCAGAGCTTTAATTTAAATTTTATTTGAAAATTAGTAATATTTTGAATGCAAATTAATTGAATTTCGATGAAAAATATAAAAAAAACATCCCATGTGACAAAAACTAGTTTAATAAAATTAAAAAAGAAATAAAAGAGTTTAAGCTAGAAAAAAGATATTTTAATGAGCCGAAAACCTAGTTTTATAAGGAATAAGGTTTCGAAAGTCTGTGATTTACTCTGAATTCGGGACAAAAAAAATTAATTTCCAATTTATTTTAACCTTAGTTTGTCATGCTTACAAAACAGCTTATATTTTTTAAAATATTTATTAACTCAATAGTTAATATGGACTGTTTTAGTTATAATTAAGGATAAATATCTCTTGACCACATTTTCATAATAATATTTTACTCCTACGACTAAATCCAAAGAGTAAAATCGATTAAAAGAATTTCTTGTTTTTATCATTTAATAATGATCATTAGTACTTAAATAATACTCTTGAGAATGAATCTTAAGTTATCATGCTATCATCACTACAATATAATTTTCATTTAAACTTATAAAACAACTTTAGTTTGTTTACATGATCATCGCTCTTAAATTTCATCTAGTAGCAATAAAAATCTCTTTCTATATTATTCAATAATATGTTGAAGTGAAAATAAGTAATTACTTTTTTCATGTATACAGATGTGTGGAAAAGTTCACATTTTAAAAGAAGAAAATCATACGAATTTCCAGCTATTTGTTTAAATTTACTTTTCCTGACTATTGATTTTTTCCAGATTGCTACTTTTCAGATTCTAGTAAAATGCATCAAAATTTTAAGTGAACTATTTGTATAATATAAACTAATTTACCATTATGATTTTTACCAAATCTCAGTGGAAATGGTTTAAGAATGCAATTTTGATTAGGTAATCCATTTATATTTGTGTTAATAAGTTGCTGATGTAACAAATTTAATCCTTGATAATTGTTTCCTGTATCTGTTTCTATATTATTTGACACTAAATTTAATAACATTCCTTTGTCTTTAGATTCGTCAATATGTTTATTTAATTTATCATAATTTTTTGATAATAATCTCTCAACACCAAAATTAAGTTTCATTGATTTACTAAGTGTATGATTATTATTATTATTACTATTATTATTATTAGCCTCATTCATGTCACTTTTTAATCTAATATCCGAAGATGATAAGCTATAGTCTCTGGGTAAATTAATATCCATTGTTATATTTTGTAAACTAATTTTTTCCATTAATTTTTTTGCGTATATTCCTTCTTATTATTATAATATTTATGCGAGATGAAAATCAACCGACTTGACTCAATGAAGCATGAAGTAAGACTGATCGTTCGTATAAGTATTTAGAATAAATATTTTTTTAACCAAACGTAGCAAACGAAATGAAGTCAAACAAGTCCTATAGTGAGTGTATACAGAAAATAAAAATGAATTTTATTCTTTTACTACACAGATGCTGACTACATTAAAAAATTTGTATCAACGCCGTTTTAATTTTTACAGGATTTAAAATTCAGTTTGTTGAGTTTTTTAAAAAATTAAATAAAAAAACCTATTTGAAATATTTGTTTTTGGAAACACTAACATTAAACTTAAGAAATAATCATTTAAAAGTAAAATATAAATTATATTAAACCTATTAAGAAAAAAAATCGATCAAGTAACAAACACGACTGCTCTCCAGCGGTTTGAATATGAAACTTCTCTGAATGATTGGGCGGAGCAAACACAGACTTCATCAATTGGTTGAATTGATGATGAGTTCACATAAAGTCATTTTGCTCATTACTTTATTGTATTTAATTGTGTATTATTATCTTCTTTTGGTTCACTTACTTTAATTCTTTTAAATTTGTATTTGAAGTGTTTCCAAAATTTAAAAAAAACTTATGAATACAAAAATTACCAATTCTTTAATTTTTTAATTGTATTATTTTATTTATCAAGCAATAATGTAAAGTTAAGTGAATTATTGAGCTCTTCAACTGTCCATTTACAATTACAAGGTGGCATTTCACAAAAGCATGATTCTACAGACTCAAAAGAAATATTATCAACAGGTTCTAAATTTCGTTTGACATGACATACATTTTTTGTTTTAATGTTTCCAATTCGAGTGTTTTGAAAATCAGGTATATGCTTGAACCAATTATGCAGCAACTCAAAATGATTCAATTTTTCAGGAACATCTTTGAGTAGTGTCACCTTTTTGAAAAAATCACAGCACGTAATAACTTCGTAGGAATATCCTGAGTAAGATTTGTGTAATTTGTAAAGATCAAGTGGTTCAGAAAATGGAAGTGAAATGCTTCTTTTAGAATTTTCAATTTCGATTCCATACATCTTTCTAATACTTTTTGTAATCAACTTGATGTGATTAAAATTTTTAATATTCATTTTTATCAGCGCTGAAGTATCGATACGGATTAATTTCTTTCCATCAATAAAATTGACTCTGAATGAATCTTTGTATTCAGGAAATCCCAAGGCGTTTATCCAATTTAGAACATCGTCTGTGGTCCATTCAAATTGTTGAGGCAGTTCCAGTTTGTTTAATACACAGCAACAAATAAATGTCAGAGGATTTGCTGTTTTCAAAGTTGAATCGACATACCTTAAAAATGTGTGATTAATAATTTCAAGACTTTTTTCAACTTGTTCTCACAAACTTACAAACAATTTGAACAGCCAGGAGTTGGTGCTTCAATAAATTTGTTTAATGAAAAATTCATTTCCAAAATTTTTTTAAATATTTCTGTCAAAATTATGTGTTCATAGAAAGTCATAGCCTACATGCCACAAACATGAAATAAAAGTTTAAAAATTATGTTAATTTAAATAAATAAACAGAGCAATATTGCAGCATCTGCATGCAATCTATGTATATCTACACTATTAGTTAAATTTATTTTTTACTTTTTGGAATATAAATATTTATTTTTGTCTTAACTCTTATAAAAATTTATATTATAGTTTGTATATTGTTGTATATATATTAAGAATCACTGTGGCTTCAAACCAGAATCTATTATAATGACATAAAATTTTAAATTGTGTCATATGACATATTTATGTAAATTTTTATACTTAGTTTTTATTTAAATATCATTAAAAGACGATTAAGAAATTATATGATAAATTATACTTATTATTCAAACAGTTTTCGATCGAAATGGGTTCTGACGCTTACTTTGACTATATGCTTTATATCTTATATTTACATACAACAAATCAAAAAAGTACTTAATCAATATTCGAATAGAGGCTCTCGCATTTTTGACGAATATTTATTTCTACATTAAATACTAATTTGATTTGAATTTGTTTAAAAAATTAAACAAGCGTTTGCATTATTTGAAATTTTATCCTTAAGAGGATCATTAATGCTCTTTATAATTTATTATGACTGATAGTAATTTACAGGTACCTGCTGTTTTCTGTGTTTTCAATGAAACCTTTACACATAATAACATTAAATGAGAACAAAATGCACTTTCATTATTAAAATGACATCAACGCATTTCATTCAGCTTAAATTTTTACCAAAGTTAAATAACTTTACAGAATGATACAACATTAATTTCTGGTTCTGTTTTTGTACCACAAATATTGCAATTTTAGTTCTTCTTCGTGATAAATTTTGAAACTTATAGCTGCAATAATAAACCTGATGAGAATATATCAATAATGATCAATAAATGAACATTTAGTTGAGAGAAATACGCTGAGTATGTTGAAATGTGGTTGTTTGCATGATATGCGCGAAAAACATATTGCGACACCTCCGCAACAATAAAAAGTTATCATGCCGATGTTCATAAATGCATATTAAATGTATATAAAAGGCTCATAATAAATATTAAAAGAGAATTTGCATGAAAATTAAAACGAATTTATATAGCAATTGTTGTTCGTTTTCTCTCGATTTTTTTTTCTTCTCTTCTTCTCGACAATTTGAAGATTAAAATTTATTACAATCAATATTCACATGTCTATGTATAGATGTGAAAGTACGAACGAAGAAATTAATAAAGGTAGATGTTTACTTGCTTGTCGCCATCTCAATTGTTCTGCTTCCTTTCCGATCATTGAAATCTTTTTCTTTTCCATATATTTATTCCTTTTTCACATCCATAAATTTCTATATTAAATACTTTTAAGAAACATGATAGTGATAAAAATATTTGACATAAATATCAAGTTATTTTCTCATCTTTTTTTTGCATTTTATTTCGTTCCTTTTTTCAGTCTTATTTTCTTTTTTTTTCATCTTTAATATAAAAAAAAATACGACATGACATGTTTATTAAGCGATTTTAAAAGTTTGACATAAGACATTGACTTTTTTAAATATCTTGAATATATTTTGCTACTAAACATGCTTGTTTAAAACTACTATACACTAATGTAATTTGAGAATAATCTTAAAGTTTAAAATGTCATCAGTGAAAGACTTTACATTCATGCATGCTGCAGAACAGTAAATCTAGTTCTTAAATTTGTTGATTTTCCACGTGAGCACGAATTAAACAAAACGAAAAACAAACTCTTTTTTTTACACAGCAAAGTTTATTTAAATTGAAATTTAAGTAGGTGTTATTTGGCTGTTGTTCATCAGAAATATTTATCCGTTTTGCTTTGTAAATCGAATAATAAATAAGAATAAATTGTACTGGGCTTATGATTTATAATATAAATCAATTTATTGGAAATATTGCTAAATTTTTATTTCATATTAAGAAAATGAATATGAAACGCTAAGCATGCCAATCATACAGCTAAAACGTGAAAAAGTTGGCATTATTACTTTTTTGGGTGGTCGATTAAATGATTCAAATGAATCTATAACTTAACAAAAACATGTTTAAATATTTACATATGAGCAAGCCTCACAGTAATCAAAATCAAAAGCATTTTGTGAAGCCCAAAACGATTACTTTTAAATATTGCTAGAATATTTAAATGATGTAGTGTTATAGCACCAATATTCTCCTACCGAAATTTCAAATAGGAAAGCATAATTTAAATACTTTACATTCATTTTCTAAATCAATAAATCAAAATTTAAATGTATAAATTTAAAATTTGAAATCAATTAATCTCAGTTAATATAGGTATATTTATGAATATAAAATCATACAAATCGATGGAATGTTGATTTTTAAAAAGAAAATAAACACACTTTAAAGCAGAGGGAAAGAATTAAAATGAGAAACAAACAGGGAGCTATTGGCAAGATGAAAAGGGAAAGATGTTGAAGGATTGCAGCGCAGTTGGCAACAAATTTTTGACTTTTTATTTGACTTTATTGCAACCCTCGTATCTAGCTTTAAAAAAATCTGTATCCTTTTCTTTTAAGTTTAATCCAGGGTTCTAATATTTATTAGATATAACTCCATAAGTACAAACTATGATGATCTTAGATTATTACAAAAATGTATTCATAGCATTTCTCTTAGGAATTGGCAATCAAAAATGTTTTATGACCAAATGTCTTAGCACTCACTCTAAACAACACTTTACAGTTCCAAAAAGGAACATGCTGTGAAAATATTTGCTTAATATAATTAATTAATCGCATTATATGAATAAACCTATGGAGTGCAGTCAGTCAAACCAGGCAAAAAGCTAAACAAATATTTGTTAAAAAGTCATATATTTTCACCTATTAGAAAAACTCACATATATTTACTCCAACTCAAACTCATAATTCACAATAAATGACCGATTCCTAAACGATTTAATATTGTTTTAATACAATTTATTTACTAAATGACTGAAAAATTTAAATTTTTATTGGTTTTAAAATACTAATTCTCACCACATTAAATGTAAATTGTGTGGCAGAGAAACGCGTGTCTTCATAAATATTATAATATAATGAAATAAATATTGAATAAAAACCATATTAAATTTCATTTATGAAATGAAGCACTGCTGTGTGGCTCTTTGTATGAAGGAATAAAGAAGAACAGAAAGAAAGAAAAGGAGAGAGAAAAATGCAGATTTAAATTTATATGTTTCTCCTTAAGAATTATTGAATTAAAGAACAACATTGGAGTTTCGATGTTGTTGGTGTTGTTAAAGAGATATCCTATATGGATATCATGCTGATTTGGTAACACTGCGAAAATCTCACCAAAGCAAAGTAAACAGCGAACCACCAAGGTAGAAAAACAGTAAGGGCATCATATAGACTAAATATCAATTTAAATCTAATAAAAATTAATTATTGAATTAATTGGTCAATATTTTGCTTAAACATATTGCATATCGCATTTCATTGGAAGAAACATGGTCATGAGACCGAGAAAAATTATTATTATTATTATTGTAGTATATGAAGCATGTCATAGTGACAGAACAATAGAAAATAAAGTCGGATATAATTTTCCATTATAAAGTAATTTTAAAGAAAAGCGTGTTTAATATTTAATTATGATATTCATTGGACTTAATTTATTTATTATTATCAAAGAAATTTTTTTTGACCTTTATAACATTTATCCACTTGAATACGACATCCAAGATTTCTCTTGTCGAATTCATATATGCTTGTACGATAAGTTACGATTATAAACTCAAATTATGTTCGATACATGAGTGTATCTTTGAATCGCATAAATATACTCCATTCCTTCGATTAATCCCGCTGGGATATTTTGTTCTCAAATGTGAAGCTACAATACCTTTATTTTTTTTTTTGCAAATTTGCAATGGATTGGAAACCTGAGTGTTTATAAAAAGTCATGTATTTCAAAAAGGAAGGATTACCAACAAGCAAAAAAGCATATAGACAACATCAATAGCATTTTATATTTCATGCATTCATAAATATATATATTTTTGTTCCACCTTAATTCTTTAATTCTCCTTCCTTTTTTTTATTATCATACACAATGATAATAATTACTCGAAACCAAAATCAGTTCATTAATCTATTAAAATTGCTTTTAACTTGATATTTATTTACAGATTCATAAGAGTGACGATACATTTTCCGCATATACATACACATACACATGTAAATACATGAAAAGCACCGATAATGCCGGTAATAACTTACAACTTTTCATGCCTTTATTGTCATACAACGGTACCAAATTTAAATCGCATTGCAAGTCGTTGGCGTTATAAATGTGACATAAATATAGCGTGCAATTTGTTCATTTGTGTTAGAAAGCAAAACTTAATATTTCTTGAGTACGACTTTTCAACAATAATTCATTCTGAATTTGAAGTCGATAAGAGACAGTTGCCTTTAAATAAATTTAAATTATCTGTTTTTTTTTTGTTGAGTTTAATATCAAAAATGTTCAAATTAAGAACATTATTAATTGCAATTCTTATTAGTATCATCTGCATCAATGCATCTACAGTCCGACGTAGTTTATTGGAAAATCTGAATAGTGGATTAAAACTTCTTGGTAAAAATGATCGACGACCTCTAGACAATCGTTATTATTATCTCAAACGTTTCCAACAATCAGGTGTATCAAGCAATATCGCTGATTTAGTGTCACAATCATTTGCTCCTGGAAAGAAAGCGAATCAAAACTCGAATCGACAAGATTCAATTGTTTTAGGAGATGATATGACGGCAACATCGTCATCATCATTGTCAGAAAACTCAATCATGAGTGGATTACTGAAATTACTTGGATTTGACGGTGGAAAAATTGGCGCAGCAGCAATTAATGGGATGGTTTTCTTAGCTCAAATGGTGAGATTTGGTGCAAATAGATTTATGGATTTTATGATGACTAAAACTTGGGATTGGTATGTTATTGTTGATTATATCAATAAAAAGATAAATGATGATAAATTTGTGAATAATAAAATAAAAGATGAGACAATCAGTTCAAATCAAGAGTTTGAATACACTACTAGAATTTGGATCTAAAAAGTGTATCCAAAAACAATTGTATATAAATGATTTTGTAAAAATAACGTTACTTAAATTCATGATCTATGAAACCTTGATTATTCTTACTAGTCAGCTATATGTAGTCATTCTAACATATAAATATGATATATAGCTTTAATAGATTTATTGATTTTCCAAAAGGAATTGTGTGGTCTTCAAATCATTAGTTTCATAAATTTGTGTTTTAACACTTTCTTTCTCTGCATGAAGCTCCTTAAAAATCAATTGTATATTTATCATAAAACACACTCTTTTCAAACATAATTAATTGCTATAAAATAAATGATGCCATTAAATCAATTGGAATCTTTTTTTCTTATGCCCCCCATTCACTTGTTATTGTTAGTTATTCAAATTGTAAAAAGTCATTAATAATTATATTTCTTTTAAAGATTATTTGAAAAATGTAAATAAAAAAATAAAAATTGTAAAATTAATTTTCACGCACTTTTACACTATCTCTGTTTTCATGACACACTTATTCTCGCTCTAGTTAGTATCTATGTTTTGATGAACTCATTAGAAGATTCTGTAAAATTCTTTTTATTGCAAAATATTTTATATCTTACTGCATATGTTGTACCTTTGTATATGTTAATAAATTTATAAAATGAAATAAAAATTTCAACTGTCAATTAATTAAATATCAGTTTTAAGATGTACCTATATTCAAATTTTGGTCTCCTTTTATCAGCAGTCAAAAACTAAAGCTTACCCTAATTGGCAAAGAGCACAGAAAGAGCACACTCTAATTTTTGCTGAGTAAACTCCTAAAAGCGTACTCACCAGTGCATACTCACTCAGTTATACTTTGAGCACACTCTTGAAATGAAACATTTTTTTATGTGTCATGTCACATGTGACACACTTTATGCTCAATTAAGCACATAAAACATATGCTCAAATGAGCATACTTAGTTTGACATACTTTTAATATACTCATAAAAGTACATATTAATCTGACTATTGATGTACTCAAAAGAGTATACTTTGAGTGTACTTTAAAGGACGTAATAAATAAAAATTATTATTTTTTGAAACTTTTTTTTATTATTATTTTACATAATTAATGCGCCCTTTTTACCACGTTTTTCTTAACTTGCTTTCTTGTTTGTTTGTTTGAGCTTCGCTCAGCTTAAGTTTGAATGTATGAAGCTAACGAATGAAGCTAGCGGCTTCGCTCAGAATAAGTTTGAATGTATGAAGCTAGTGAGTCAGCTGAGCTTTTCTTCGCATATGTTTGAAGGTTTAAAGCTTAACGAACATTTTTTGAAAGATTTTTAAATTTTTTTTTCATCCAAAATATAATTTTATAAAAATCACAGTGAACTTTTGTTTTGAAAAATTCGTAAGAAATTTTTTGCTTTTTCTGAAGCAACGGCTGTTCCTACCTTGCCTAAAAACAATGCAGCTCTTCTATAGAGCAGCACGGATCAAATGTAAAAAACTAGAAGTCTCTACGATGTCTCGTTTCTTGCTGATTAACTTGCTTACAGAAAGCGTATTTTGCGATTTTCTCAGCAATGCCGCAATCAATTTGAAATCTGTTTTTTGCAAATGATGTGAAATTTCAGGCACAAACTTTTTATCTCTGAACATTTTAAGCTATCTTGCTCCATATCCTCACAAAATTCAAAAAACTGATTTTTCAATCTGAATAAAAACAATAGATTCACACGTTATAACAGTGTGAATATAAAAAAAAACCCAAAAATGTTTACTGTGATGAATTTTCCAAGTAGTCCACAAACGAAATTGTAAAAGTCAAATTTAAAGGAACTGAAGCATCCGAGTAAAAAAATTTAGATGTCAAAAGGTCTTAAATCATGATTCTCATCAGTTTCAATCAAAATTTTGGTTATAAACTGCATCGGAAGGAAGTATTGCAAAAATTTCATTTTTCGACAATTTTTTTTCCAAGACAAAAGTACAGTGCTGAAGCATAAAAACGATTTCAAACTGATATTTATAAACTTTTTTTTTAAATTAAACCTAGAGATTCTTGTAAGTAAATATTTGTTAAGTGTGAGAATTTAAGTATAATTCAATTGGATGTGACATGTTAAAAAGACGTGCTTAGAGTATATTTGAGAGTGCACTCAGAAAGTGTACTGAGATGAGCATAATGTTTCTTACATAAACTTATTACAAAGACGTGCTTAGAGTATATTTGAAAGTGCACTCAGAAAGTGTACTCAGATGAGCATAATGTTTCTTACATAAACTTATTACAAAGACGTGCTCAGAGTACATTTGAGAGTGCACTCAGAAAGTGTACTCAGATGAGCATAATGTTTCTTACATAAACTTATTACAAAGACGTGCTCAGAGTATATTTGAAAGTGCACTCAGAAAGAATACTCAGATGAGCATAATGTTTCTTACATAAACTTATTACAAAGACGTGCTCAGAGTATATTTGAAAGTGCACTCAGAAAGTGTACTCAGATGAGCATAATGTTTCTTACATAAACTTATTACAAAGACGTGCTTAGAGTACATTTGAGAGTGCACTCAGAAAGTGTACTCAGATGAGCATAATGTTTCTTACATAAACTTATTACAAAGACGTGCTCAGAGTACATTTGAGAGTGCACTCAGAAAGTGTACTCAGATGAGCATAATGTTTCTTACATAAACTTATTACAAAGACGTGCTCAGAGTATATTTGAAAGTGCACTCAGAAAGAATACTCAGATGAGCATAATGTTTCTTACATAAACTTATTACAAAGACGTGCTCAGAGTATATTTGAAAGTGCACTCAGAAAGTGTACTCAGATGAGCATAATGTTTCTTACATAAACTTATTACAAAGACGTGATGAGAGTACATTTGAGAGTGCACTCAGAAAGTGTACTCAGATGAGCATAATGTTTCTTACATAAACTTATTACAAAGACGTGCTCAGAGTACATTTGAGAGTGCACTCAGAAAGTGTACTCAGATGTACACTAAATTTCTATAAATTTCTATAATTGAGTATGCTCTCGCATGTGCTCAAATTTGTGAGCATGCTCTTTGCCTATTAGGGTTAATTGTTAATAATTCTCTTATTCTAGATTTATTCCATTGAAGTTCGATTGATTTTTTTCAAACGAAAAAGCTATATTGAAGAAAAAAACTTGGATCAGATTATTGAATAATTTGACCATCGACTTAATTAAAACATTCCAAATTCCTTTTGTAGAGATAAATCGTCAAATCATATTAAATATGACAAAATTTTCACAATTCGTTCTCGTTATTAAAATGTAAATTCATTTATAATTTTTTTTTCATTAATTACTTAATTTCTAAATGAGATTTATTGTTATTCCTTTTGAGATTATCAGCCAATTTTTTCAATGCCATTATTTTATTTTTATTTTCTATTCATAAAGTTAGGAAATTTATTAATTTCACCGGAGCCAAAAGACGAAGAAAACAAAAACAACGATGAACAAGAAGAAAGATCAAGTAAAGATGATATTCTTTCAGGCGACATATTCAACTGGATGCTTCAAAATGAAAAAGTATCAGACTTGCTAGTGGTGAGTATTTTTATTAAAGAATTATTGAGACTAAAACAAATTCTAATTTTAAATTGCATCTTGAATTCACAATCGAAAAAGCAACACCTCTCAGTAGCTTTCACCAAAAAATGTGCTTATAAAGTACTCGAAAATAAACTTAGAAAGTCATTCAAGAAAGCTGTAAAGAGCTTTTTTAAAACTTAAAAGCGCACTTACAATCCAAACTTAAAGCTTGTGTTTTTTTAAGAAACTTTAATAAGCTTTTTGACTTTAATAGCTTTCAAAATTTTAGGACGCAAGAGATAAGGACCTTTCTGAGAAATTAATGTCAAATATTAAAGAGAGGAATAAAAACAATTCGGCTGATTGTGTTTTGATGTTGTTTTGTAAGATGAAGCCATTTATATGGGGAATGCAGAAAGCTTTGAATGACAAGTTAAGCGGTAAGGAACATGCTGGAAATCAAAAGACAACAGAAAGACCAGATAAAATTGCAATATTCTTTGAATATTTACCAACATTTGACGAGTTCAAAACAAATTCCGTGACTTGCGAAGATGATTATAAAGGCTGTAAATTATTTTAAATTTAAATTAACATTAATGTACAATTGACAATCATTTTTGTTTTTACGAGTAAATGAAGTGCTTTATGACATCATAAAAATGTGTAAATTACATACTAAAATAATTTCAAATAAATGATTTCAAAAGTAAAACTCTCATTCACAATGCAAAAAAGCATTTTCTTTTCATTCATATCGTTCTGGTTTTGTATTTCGAAACTAATGTTAGATTTATTAGAGCGAATTTTTGAATCATGTCGCCGCATGGTATGAAATAATAGAAGAAAAAAACAGAATGTGTTAATTTAAAAATCATTTTAGAGAAACATTTTCTCTCATTTTCAAAAGGTTTGATGAGATATAACAAATTGTTTAATAATTTTGCATTTTTTCTTTAGTTTCTGTCTTACTCTATTTGAATATCGAACAACAAACAAATAACTGTTTTATGCGTTTCTATGTTAATCTTCTTTTACTTTTCAACAATGTCAATTTCTATAATTTTTTAAATAATTTTCAATTTTCAGGTTAGGGGCTGTTCACTTATTACGTAACGCGAAAAAATGACTTCTTAGACCTCCCCCCCCCCCCCTCGTAACAAAATTTGTATGAAAAAAAAATTTCCTTGTTTGAATCGTAACAAAATCTTAGACCCCCCCTCCCCCTAAAAGCGTTACGTAATAAGTGAATGGCCCCTTAGGAGTCTAGACAAGTAGATCATTCAAAAATTATATACATATTAAATAGAATTATCCAAAGTAGAAAATTATTTTAGAAGTGGTTCAACAATTTATGCTAATCAGCAAGTGAACCACATAAAGCTCGGTCTATCAACGAAATTTTTTATGATGCAAAATTATGATTTACAATTTAGAAATTCAGCATACTCTCCACAAAAGTTTTTCTTATACATTTAAAGTATTATTTCTTATTATTTTATATTATTCTGTATAAAAACAAACAATATGTTATAGTTCAATGATCTAAAATCGTTCAATATTGAATGGAATTCAATTACAATATGTGTGATAAAAGAATTATAAAATTACTTTGAAATTAAGCAATTGAGCTTACACACAGCACAGAAAATAAAATTGAAAGTCATTTCATAAGCCATGACGTTTTTAAGACGTGATATGTGTGATTATATTAGCAACATTAAATTTCACTTGTACTTTCATTGTCAGCTTCTTATTTTTTTATTTTTGTCGATAATTTCTTTATAACAAAAAAATGTATATTGTAACGAAAATCATTGATTTACTTAGTAGCAAAAAATCTATTTTTCTTTATAGTTGTGTTCCTAGGTAATATTTTATTTGTGCACATTTCAAATTGCTGCCGTATGATTCTCATCAGAAAGATGCCGCACAAGAGAAAGTTTATTGTAAATATAATGAAATCTTATTCTCTTTTGATTTTTAAAAAAATTGTTTCAACTCGGCAGACTCGATGTAAAGTCAATTGTGTGAAGATGTTTTCATACTTCTGTTCGTATTCTTATTCTTTTTTGTTCTTTAACCAATTTTAATAAATGAAACTGTTACATCATTGTGCAGTTTTTAAAATAAAGAAAGAAAATATTTCTCACAAATCTAATGAACTTAATTATATAATGAGAATCAGAAGAATTGAAATAGAAGAAGATTTAGGAATATAAAAGCATCATATTATTATTGTGAATATTTAACAAGTAGATTCTAACATAATGTATGGTAATCTTTTGAAACATTCATGACAAAAGAATACCTACTTGAGTTTGCAATCATGTCTTTGTTTTATGCTATCTGACAATGCTTTTGTTTTCAATATCACTCTATTGTAAAAGATGTTAAGTGAAGATATTGCATTAATGCGTGTGAGTCAATTATCTCAAGACCAAAGATAGATACACTAGTAAGCAATACGAAGAAGTGCATGTTATATAAATTAAAATGCAATTATTTCATTTTCTTTGAGGTTTTATGATATTAGAATTTTAATTTATGACTGACTTTAAAACTAATATAGAATAATCTAAAAATATGGAAATTTGCGAAGCTCACTAAATGATACTTCTGGATTGATCATCAACATACACGAAGTGTGTTTACGGTGAATTTCTGAAGCCTGCTTTCACTAAAACTGATGTTCAATAAGCTTACGTAATCCACATAAAATTGATACATGTAACCCGAATAGACAAAGAGCGTGCTCACTTTTGTGAGCACGTTAATGAGCATACTCAAAATCATCATTTAACGTGCTCACCTGAGCACACTCAGTTGAACATGCTTGTGAGCACATTGTGAATATGCTCATAAAAAAACAAATTTTTTGAAATTTTTTATTTTATTGAGCATGCTCGAGAGCATACTCAATTCCTAAATCTAAGCATGCTCACTTGAGTACACTCTTAAGCATACTCGTGAGCACATTGTGAATATGCTCACAAAAAAATCAATTTTTTTAAATTTTTCATTTTATTGAGCATGCTCGAGAGCATACTCATTCTTGAGAGCATGCTCATGAGCATACTCAATTACCAAACTTAAGCATGCTCACTTGAGTACACTCTTAAGCATACTCGTGAGCACATTGTGAATATGCTCACAAAAAAAACAATTTTTATAATATTTCACATTTTATTGAGCATGCTCATGAGCATACTCAATTCTCAAATTTAAGCATGCTCACTCTTAAGCATACTCGTGAGCACATTGTGAATGTGCTCTAAAAAAACATTTTTTTTTAAAGATTTCACATTTTATTGAGCGTGCTCAAGAGCACATATATTGAGCATACTCTGAGTATGCTCATGATTTTGTATATACTTCACAAGTCAAAGTTTCTAGAATTATATATAGTTATCTACTTTTTAACTATAAACATTGTTTAAAAACATTTTGAGATCAATTTCGAAGTATTTAACTTTGTTATAGTTTATATATGAGTTTTTGCCATAATAAAGTATAAAGGTAAATTGCAGCAGTGGTGTAATGGTTATGGTAATGGTCTTAGCAACAGAGCGGTCGTGAGTTCGAATCCAGGTAAAATCCAAAATTTTCTTAAGTGTTTTTTTCAGATTATTAATGAACAAAATTTATTCTAGAACATTAAAAAACTCTACAACAGTAAAATATGTCAAAAAAATAATTTCAAAATTTAATTTTTTTGAAAATTATGAAATAATGTGAGTACACTCAGTGAGCATGCTCAGAGTACACTCACGAGCACACTCACCGAGTGTACTCAAATGTCACATCATATGACATAAAAAATGTTGCATGTCACACAACAATTTGAGCATGCTCAAAATTTGTTAAAATAACGTGCTCAGAGCATGCTCAAAAAACGTGCTCATTAGCGTAAAGTAGTGGCATCACTTTTCGTATGAAAGAGCACGCTCACGCGAGTATGCTCAGCACTGAAATTGAGCGCGCTCATAGCGTGCTCTTTGTCTATTCGGGTAAAGTTTCATGAACTCTGTCAATTTTTTCAGTGTTAAAATGAAAGCCAGTCATCTGACAAATTATTTCCAGGGTTCATATGTCAATTTAATTTCAAAAAAAAAATCCTTATATTTACTGCTAATCATTAAATAATTAAATATTTATATGTGAAGTCTAGCACTTAAGCAAATTATAGGATCTAATTTTGCGTGACAGTTAATAAGGTTTAAAAAAAAATGAACCCAATAATTTTTTAAGAATTTCAAAAACGATATTTTTTGATTGAACTATTCGATAATTGATTGACCATTATGCATGCTATTCTGTTTATATTTTTTTCCAAAAAATAAACTTAAGTTAGTCAAAACAGTCAAGTATGTATGAACCATTCAAAAAAAATCCTATGCAAATAATATTACAGGACTTTGGAAATAATCTCTGAAGTGGTATGAATAAGCTCCGAAGATATTCTGGGTATTTCCATGATGTTTTCTCTAGTAATGTCCACTTTTTTTCATTTTTATCTTTAAAAACGTATCCGGAATAAGCTTTTGTCTATTATTTTTTTTTATAAAGGATATGACGAAATTTGGAGATCACAAAAACTAAGCTATTGTCATGAACTAAATTTATTGCCGTTCTCAATTCATTGATTAACAATCAACAAATATATTTTTTAAAAATATTATTAGAAGAGAATGCATGTTAAGTAAGAAGACAAATAACGATCATAAAAAGGCACGATAAATATTTTGGATCATTTTATTATTAAAAACTTAAGAATTTTCACACTAGATCATGATTTTTGAAAGTTCTGCATGGATAGACAATCAACACATAATAAATATGTTAAAAAAAATTTTTAAGAGACAACGAGCAACTTCTTGAAGAAATACATTCATATTTTTTTTTTGAAGAGAGAAGAGAGAAAGATATGTTCGTGAAAATACAGTTGTAAAATAAGCAAACATAAGAAAAGCAAAAGAAAGAAGGTAGGAAGTGGGTCATCATATAAAAGAGAAGTTCAAGGTAATAACGTTTTCAGATTTACGTTGTCGGTTGAAGTGATAACAACTAGAAATAAATTGTAGTTATTCGTAATATTTATAGTGAAAATCTTAAGGTAAGGACTTACTTAGTGAATTCAAAAAGGAGTTTTTAATACAAAAATATTAAAAAATTTATTTATGCATTTTAAGACAAGTAGTACCATAATTACAACCATACAATATTTTAAGGATGTAGTTTAAATAATAAAGTGACGTGGTCATTGATTCAACAAAGTGAAAATTTTTAAAATGAAATCATTGTGCATTCCAAAACAAATTTCTCGATGTGAATAATCGTTAAGTGAAAATTATAAGATGTAATAATTACGTATAAAATATTTTACCGGATTTTTATTGCGTTAACAGTTTTCCTTTCCATCGTATCTTGAGTATCGATTGCACTTAATTATAGGGAACATACGTCCGACAAATAGAAAAGATTATAAGTCATACGTGATTTAAAATTTTTAAAATAATCAGGACAGATGTTCATTGAATGACTTTATTTTGCATAAAGTGCTGAAACTAATGTAAGTGAAATGAATGCATTAATAAAAGTAAGATTGTATGTCAAATAAATAACCATATTCTCACGAGCACAAAAAAAAGAGGTGAAAAATATAATAAAAATTCCAAAGCGTAAGAAGAACACAAACACTGACATTAACTTTCTTCTTGTGACGCTCAAATTGGCCTATAATGAATACCACAATACTGACCCATTTATTAAAATTTAGAATGGAAATGAATTTTATTATTAGAGTGGTTAAAAAAAGAAGATACTTCTCCAACAAGAATGTTAATTGAAATTTATGCTTATCATCCTTAATTATGTTTCAAGTCATATCATGACTAATCTATTGAAAAATAGCTAATTATACAGTTGTTTGAGCTAATTTAGCAATAGTAAATTTGCATTAAAAATTTAGGGGAATAATTCTAATTTTTATGAAGTCTAATGAAGGAGAAAAAAGAGGTAATAAGCATTATAAATTATGGAGCATAGCATTATTACAGAAATACCAGTTTCAAAAATAACGGCAATAATCCATAGAGAGAAATGAATACTCAATATTCTTTTTTAGAAAGGAAAGAAAAGAAAACAGGTTCATTTGCTATTTAGTTATCAGTGCTACAGTAAATTTGTTAAATATTTCAAAAATGTGCCTCCCATAACACTTGGGTAATTAAATAGTCTGCCACAATACGATGATTAGTAAATGAAACAATTATCTTATGATATAGGCCATACATTTTTGTATTCAAAATTGAGACTAGCCTAATTGAAATTTTCGAATTATACATGTCTATCGAATTAGAATAAATGCTCTTTACGCTTTCGAATAATTTTAATAAATTTTGAAGATCGTGCATGAAATCTTAATGCCGTTATTCACTAGATTAAAGAATTCATAGTAATTCATTTATATAATCAGCGATTATGTGTTGAAAACTTTTTAGATAATGATGTCACTTTGTATGAATGTCCAAAAAAACATTCATGCCGTGAAAGTAAATTGGATAAGAAGACGAAGTATGGAAAATTATTATACAATGATAGTTTGTGCTAGAAATATTATCCCAAACATTCTCTACAGTATAAAAAAAAAGTCTTGAGGATTTGAATGCGAGGTCGATAAACGAAAGAACCAAATGAAATTAAATTAGATATAAGCACAATTAAATTATATCGCATTGAGACTATTACACGTCTTTTGTTATGAGCATTCAATTACAAATAATTCATACAATAAAGCTCGTTTCAACATATAATTTTGACAGTTCTTTTAAGTGTACGTCTTGTATGAATTTATGTCAACTTCATTATTTGCAATGCACAATAAAACAATGACGATATTGTATGTTAGTAATGATGATGCATAACTTTTCTTTCAAAATAAATACTGTCTCAAAATGCAAGGAAATAATGGTTAACAATTCTGTATAAATATATTATATTAATTCCTGATTCAATAGATAACGAAAATGAAAACACAAAATCAAATGTTTGGATGGTGTCTCCTCGGACTTATTGCAAGTCACTGTGTGCTTATGACATTTGCATATCCTCAACAATTTTCACAACAACAAATTTCTTCATACAAACAGCCTCAACAGCATAGGTTCATTCCAGCTGCAAAAGCTGACGCGAGAAAGTTTGCCGAGAAACCAAATGCTTTAAAAAAAGTTGCTCTTGATGACATCGATGATGATATTCAAACAAATCAAATTTCAGATAATGGCTTCTCGTGGTCAAACATGCTAGGTAGTACGTTGAAGTCGATCATATAGTGTTTTGCTGTTTTTTCTTAATTATTATTTTTTTCTACAGGCATGCTTATGCAAATGTTCTTCAATGGAGCTAACGGAGCAAACGCTAATATTCTTCCAACAAAATCTGATGATGTTGACAATGGAGTTGCTCCAGCCTCATCATGGGCAAATATTATTTCAGTTGGATTGAAAATAATTACAGCATTATTAGGAGGAGGCAATGGAGGCGATGGAATTGATAAAGTTGATAACGGAAATTCACCGATGCAGGTAAGAAATGTGAATCAAGTTTAATACAATTATAACATTCAATGGTGAGAGAGAAATTTATTTATATAGTCAGTTATCACATTATAGACATGGGGAAAGCTTATATTAAAGAAAGCATTAATTTACACGCTTTTAGGAAGAAAAGAAATTCAAAATATTTATTATCACCTTATACTAGATAAATTAGGATAATTTGATCCATTACTTTTTTTTATTTCCTGGTAATTATACACTTTCCTAGGCCTACATATCTAAATGGTTATTGAACTATGCACTACAAAGAAAATTCAAGTAAAAAGTAAAATCTCAAGTATTCTTGTCCTTTACTCTGAAAATTATTTCAAAAGTTTCTCTAGCCTGGGTCTCTCTATTAAAAGATTTTACTTCTTATTTTAAGTTCTTATGATGCTTAAAAATCACTTAAATATACAAGTCTAAAGAAATATTAGTTTAAATTCAATTCCTTAAAAAATAATTTTATTTAATATAAATAATATCAAATTCAAAGCAAAATGCACATTTGGAATGTAATTTATTTGTAGGGAGTTTTAACTGCAGTCTTCAGCACACTGTTTGGTTCAAAAGATCCAGAACAAGTGAATACTATGGCCAAACAAGCTGGAGAGGTAAGTTAATCCGTTAAAATTTCAACCACATTTTTTTATCATAAACATTTCATCCAATTATTCATCAACCTCAATATTTTTTTAATAACATTACTTTTTCATTATTTTTTATGTACATATATTTTAAGTGTAAATTCAAAAAAAAAGAAGAAAATATGCTAACAGTTTATTTCAAAACCTAATTAAAAGAGAAATTTCACTTTTCTTTAATTACAGTTCATCAGCATTGTTCTTAATTTGTTAGACGCATTGAAGACATCATTCTCACATCGTTCGCTTAATGCCAGATCATTGGGAAGAAAAGATTCTGTGGCCGATGCAGCCGTAGCATCAATTTCAATGCTTAAAGGTTATGTGAAAACATACAACAATGATGACGAAAAATGTATGCAAAAATTCTTGTGCGAAGCTAATGAGGAGTGCTCATCCGACATTGGAGGTCACAGTATCTTCTGTCAACTTGGATCATATGCTGCAAGTTTCATCCTTGAGCGCCAAACAGGACGCACTTTCGAGTCACTTTATGATGCTGGTCGCAAAGGACGAACAGGAGTGGATTGCAAACAAATTTATCTAGAATGTAATCAAGTTTAAGGGAAATTCTTTTGAATTAGTTCTATGTAGATTCTTTCTCACTTTTAATTTTAAAAAATCTCTTTTTGAGGTCATTCAAAATTGTTGTCTCAATCCTTTCACGAAATCTTTATAGTTTTTGTTTGAAATGATGGATAACATGATTGAATGGCTGTTTTATAAATACTGAAATCACTTGTGATCTTAAACAAAAAAAAAACAACAATTGACTTCCAATACCAATGCTTTTTGACTTATGCATCTTACACATATCTTAATGTGTCACATTATAAGCACAATCTTTATTTTAATTGATAGTAATTTATTTTTTATTTATTGAACTATTGTGAACTCCTGCAAAACAATTTGAAATGAATGGGTTTGAATGCGTGAATTTTGATGAATGAATGAATGAATGAAAGCTAGTATGTAAATCTTTTAAAAATAACTATGAATGCAATGAAGAAATAATTTGTTTTATTGCTATGCTGAAATGATTCACGAGCAAGGAAAGATACTTAATAAAATAGTCAGATTGATTCATTGTATACCATAGAGGAATTATTTTAAAGATTTTATTGTTAAAATATTAAATTAAATAATAATAAAAAGCCTATATCATATAGGAAATAGATTTCAATTGATCTTTTTCATATCTTCAGTTAATTTTACATAAACTATTGGCACATTTTTATGATGAATAATTTATTAATACATTCGATAATAATTTTAAAAATTACACTACTGAGATATATATAAACGATTATCAATACATTTCAATAACATCATAAGTTCCAGTATAGAAACATTCATTAAAACATGACAAGTAGGCTACAATAATATTATCTCATAAGTCCTTCAAAACCACGATCTTCTCAAAAAGAGGATTTCATTTTTAAAATATATTAAAATATTTTATGAAAATATATCTATTTACTTTTATAACTTTTGTTTATGTTCTTGATGTTCATAAATTAGTGTAAAAAGTTCCGCTCAAAAGCTTTCCGAGCAATTTCGATGTCGGTAAATATTCCATTTGCTTATTTCATTGAAATATATATTTGTCAAAAACTTTTCATTAAAATGTTTTAATCTTTTGTTTCGAAAAATGTTAAAGCGTTAAAACTGTAATATATTCACTATCTATTGGAAGGAATTCAATCTGATAACAAATTTCGTTACATATCTATTGTTGTTATCTATATCCTTTTTTAATATTCGTAAAAAAATTAAAGCATTTTTTCCCAAAAATATTTAATTGCACTCATCGTCTTTGTAGCTTTTCTTTTAGGCCCTCTTTAGACACGAGATTCAGTGGTGCGTACATTTTTTTGTGTATATTTTACTTCACATTTAAAACCACGACATTTATGACAATCATCTTGTAATAAAACATTTCTTTCATTTAATTTTAAATAGAATAAAATTTAGTAACTTCATTAAGTTCTAGTCAAGTGATGTAAAAACGTTGAAAAAATTTGGTTTTTTGAAATGATATGAAGGAATGTTTTTGATAAATACTTTGTCCTAAAATTGTCTATATTAGAAATTGCGAAGCATCCAAGAAGGAAAAGAGAGAGAGAAATTGGATATAATATTCAACTTTAGTGTGAGAACAATCCAAAAATTTCAATATAAACGTTAGAAGTTAAAAGGTTATTGAATTAAAGCCGACGGTTCGATGCAAACAAAATAATAATTCACATATTCATCACCAAATCATAGATCTTCATTTGGACAGTTCTCCTGAACATATCCTTTAGGAAAGAATCCAATCTGTTTTTACAAAACAGAACAAAATTTTATTAGATTTATAGGTTTTTTAAAAATATTTATCAAGTTATATTTACTCTATCCATAGAACGGCCTTTCAGCCAGCCTCGACTGTCACCTTCTTTGCTTATAATATCTGTAAAAAATTTATTCAAATTTCTACAAACTTTATATTTTAGAATCAAAAGCTTACATATTTGACACCCTTTCTTCAACGGTAGTTGATTAGGTTCTTTTGGGGTAAAATCATAAATGGCAGTTGCAGTTCGTTCATAAAACGGCCACTGGAGCACTTGATTGAGACTATTAAAAAGCAAATGCTTAAAATACATTTAACAAATTTAAATAACGAGTTATTTACCCAGCAAAATTTTCTCCGAGATCGTTTCGTTCATAAAAAGATACAAGTTCAACTATTGTGCGGAAATAGCGTCTTGTTGACAAAAAGTAATGAGGCTGGCAATCTTCAATTTTTTGATATATTTTCATATGTTTAACAACTCTATTGTCAGTTCTACAAAGTAAAACATTGAAATTAATAAGGAAAAAAAAAAAAATTAAATAAAAGAACAAGTTTGCACCTCAATCTAAAAATCCCTAAAATGCAGATATTACTGCCAAGATGCAGATGGTGCTGCTAAAGTGCAGATGAAATTTATTTTCCCTAAAATGCAGATGAAATGCTGTTGCTTTAAAAAAAGGTATAACGCAGATAATTTATATCGTATAAAGTGCAGATAAGATGCTGCCTAAATGTAGATCGTATAATTTCATTAAAATACATCAATATTCGATGACTTTTTTTCTTGATGCGTGTTAATGACTTTAAATGATCCATGATGAAACTTAAGGGTAATTATTTTGTCTGACGACATATATATGTTTTTATTGCGTCGAGTATCCTTTTTATGAGCTCATCTATATATCTTGCAAAAATGTTACATGTCGTTTAACAACAAACTAGTGCATCGGGTAGAAACCCAATGCGGATATATTCGCACCGTACCATCAAAAGTCTTATGGATAGACAGAGATTAGTTCAGCATAAGTTTTAAGGCATAAATCCTGACGAACCAGCTTTATATCTTCAAAAAATTTTCATCCAAAGTTTAATTTTATAAAAATCACAGTAAACTTTTGTTTTAAAACATTCGTAGGAAAGGAAAGTTTTTTGCTTTTTCTGAAGCAACGGCTGTTCTTCCCTTGCCCAAAAACAATACAGCTCTTCTATAGAGCAGCACGGATCAAATGTATAAAACTAGAAGTCTCTACGAGGTCTCGTTATTTAGATTTCTTGCTTGCTTGCTTACAGAAAGCGTATTTTGCGATTTTCTCAGCAATGCCTCAATCAATTTGAAATCTGATTTTTGCAAAAGATGTAAAATTTCAGGCACAAACTTTTCTTCATGGACCTTTTGTAACCAATTTTGCTTCATTTTCTCACAACATTCGAAAAACTAATTTTTCAATCTGAACAAAAGCAAAAGATTTACACGTGAAAACGGTGTGAATATAAAAAATACATTTGCAGATATATCAATGAAAGCTGACAAAGTTATAACAAAATTTATAAAAATTATTCGTGAGTGACGCTTAATTAATGTGATTTTCCGACATAACTCCTTAACTTTAGAAAATGAGTTCTATGTCAAAAGAAATCAGGCAGAAATTATCTGCATTATAACAGCATTTCATATTTATTTTATTAAAACTATACGATCTACATTTAGGCAGCATCTTATCTGCACTTTATACGATAAAAATTATCTGCGTTCCCGAACATACAAAGAGCATGCTCAGAAAAGTGAGCATATAAGTGAGTTCACTCAAAAATTATACTCATGCAAGCTCATTCAACTGAGCATGCTCAGGAGTTCACTACGAATGTACTCACTTTATTTTTTTGCAAAAAAAAAATATAAGCTCACGTGAGTACATTCAACGAGTGTACTCATGAGAAAATTAAGAACATACTTATGTGAATTCACTCATATGAGTTCACTTACTGAATATACTCATGAGCATATAATGAGCAAACTCACTTCTGTGTCACACAATTTTTTTTATATTCTCGTATTAGTGCACTTACTGAATGTACTCATGAGCATATAATGAGCAAACTCACTCTTTGTCACACAATTTTTTTATATTCTCATATGAGCGCACCTACTGAATGTACTCATGAGCATATAATGAGCAAACTTACTTCTGTGTCACACAATTTTTTTTATATTCTCATATGAGTGCACTTACTGAATGTACTCATGAGCATATAATGAGCAAACTCACTCTGTGTCACACAATTTTTTTATATTCTCATATGAGTGCACTTATTCAAGAGCAAATTGTGTACCTTTTTTAAAAAAATGTCAGCTAAATCGAAAACGTTAAAATAATGAGTTTTTAAGGAAGCTGACGTTTTTTAAAAATGTCAGCTAAATCGAAAACGTTAAAATTGGTGCTCAATAAGATCCAAACTTCAAAGAACTTAGTTCGCCTGTAAAAATATAATAATTTAAGTATGTGTTATGCCATATATAAATTATTATATATTTACAGACAATAGCTCCAAGGAAAAGTGTGAGATGACAGAAGTAAAGCAACGCAGAAGATGTTTCAACAAGGATGGGTGACCAGATTTATATGTTTCAATTCTAAGGATTTGGGATAAAATATTAATAATTTCTAACTCTTTCAAAATTATTCACAGAAATAAACGGAACAGTACTTAATTTCAGCTAACCTATAATACTAAAATTTAGCTTAATTTATTTTTTGAATTTTGCAACTTCACTTGAGTGCACTCATGAGTGTGCTCAGATGAGCATATACTCATAAATATACTCACTAAGTATATATTCTTTGAGTACGTTTATGAGTATGTACTCTTTGAGAATATTTATAAGTATGTACTTTTTGAGAATGTTCATGAGTATATTCAATAAAAATGTTACATGAGAAAAATGTTGCATGTGACATGTCACCTTCTCATTTGAGTATGCTCATGAGTTTACTCAATGAGCTTAATATATGTCACACAGGAATGTACTCAATGAGCATGCTCAAACAGGTACCGTAAGCGCATCACTGAAACGTATGAAAATGAGCACATTCTCACAAAAGCTATCAAGCTCACAAATAATGTGCTCTGAGCATGCTCATTGTATGTTCGGGGTTATACCTTTTTTTAAAGCAACAGCATTTCATCTGCATTTTAGGGAAAATAAATTTCATCTGCACTTTAGCAGTACCATCTGCAGCTTGGCAGTACTATCTGCATTTTAGGGTAGCTGCAGTTTAGGGATTTTTAGATTGAGGTCAAGTTTGCACTTACTTCAAGCTTAATGCATACAATGTTTCTGTTGAATTAGATGCACCTTGTGGACGACATCTTAGCAAATATGTTCCTATTCTCCTATTTTCTAACTTTGCAGTCGCATTTTCTCGATCCATAGTCCCAACAAACCAATTGAATTCCGATAAATAACGATCACAAACTAATGGAGGTTGTTTGCAACGACCACTTGATGATATGCATCCTTTATGGACACAAATTTCACAGATTTTACACTTATATCCTTGGTGAATTAAACCTTTTAAAAATCGCGAACAGTGACGACATATTGTTGGCTTTTCAAAAGAAGTTAAATGAAATTTATGATCAGTGTTCTTGCATCCAAAAGGCTCAATCATTTCCATAGCCTCGTTAAGAGCTTTCACCCATTTTTCACGTTCTCCTTCCGTTTTCATGTAGAGAGTAAATGCTGTTTCATTAGATTTTCTAGCCAATAAAAGCTGATACTTAAATCTTGCATCCCGTCCTAACGTTTTTCTTGGGTGACCCATTTCTATTCGATAATCAGCCAAATTGTATGCTTCTCGAAATGTGTATTGTCCATCGCCAATTCTTGTATTGGAATTCTTAACAAGAATCATTATCTTCTCAAAGATAAAAGCATAACGATGCTTATGCTTCTGATCTTCATGAGCTTTGATGTTTAAATCACCATCAAGCAAAAGTCTCCCATATTGGCTGAGGTCATTGCCATTCGGTAAATTTAAATCAATTATACTTTCTCTAACTTTTTTGATAACATTTATTTGCTCACAATCCCTCTTGACTTCATTAATGTATTGCGCAACATCGACCATTGCTTCTTTAGCTCTTTGCAAGCCTTTATAATCATCGTGAGATGATGAAGTATCGTGAACTAACTTATCTAATAATAAATGATATTTTAAGATTCTTTGCATTGGAACTGATAAAATATCTCGAAGTTGTACTCTTCCTCCACTATGATCTTTTTGACATTGCTATAAAATTAAAGAATAAGTAATAAAGTCCTCATGATGATATAAATAAATAAAATACTTACAGCGACTAGTTGTTCAATGGCACTGCTTCTTTTACAGACATCTCTTAGGGTTTCAGTGGCATCAGTCATGTTCGCGCAATATTCACCATAAATAAGAAATTGTTCTCGGAAATCCAAAAATACACTGCTTAATTTGCATTTTGGATTTTGCTCTGTAGCTTCTCGCAGCTTGTCAAGGAATTTTTTATGAATATCGACCAGTTCCTTTATTCGAGGAAAAATAACTTTAATCTCATCTTTAAGCATTTTCTCCATTGGTTGCATAAATTTGTACTTCAGATCGTTCAAAACAATGAAATAGTTTGATTCTGTCTCCACGAGTTCTCTTATTACATAATCTCGTTGACCCAAGCTTGTTGTTGCTGAGGCTCTCTGTTCAAGGGGAATAAATGTCATTAAATCATCCCAATTATACTTAATTAAACATCCAGAGTTAAAATTTATAAAAATGCAGATCAATTTATTAAGAAGTAATAACAGGAAAAAGCAATATACCTGATTTCTGGCTATGTTACTTTGTATGGCACATAAATCCTGGTAAACTTCTTCTTCTTTTGTATTTTCTTCATCATTGCAATCAAATGCAGCATTATCGGACTGAGTAGCACTGATTATATTTATTCCACAAATTTACAGCAATGCCATATCCATTCAATTTTTTTTTTTAAATTTGTTTGTGCCACAAAATTATGATATATTGAAAGTCACATAAAAAAGAAAGAGTAATTCTAAAAATCCATGCTATAATTATTAAAACATGCTTAAAACTAAATACAAATTGATAATGAGCAATATCATTCGAGGAGCAAAAGGAAAATCAAATTAAGAGGGGATAATCAAGAAAATAATGACAAATCTACTGAGCCAGCAAATGAATACAATTAGACTGAGAATTTTGACATTGCTACTAGCTAAGAAAAAACAATGCACACTTTAAAAAAACTGTAACAACATAGTTTGGGATAAAAGTGATAAAAACCTCTAGAGGAAAGGAAGACGATATTGTGACGTAGCACAGATCCTCATAAACTTTCTCCTCACTATCATCGATAGTAACGAGATCTTCAACTGTCCACTTTATAAGCTGATTATTATTGGAGTTATCAACATTATAGGCATTGTTTTCATTGGAATACTCTTCATCAGAAGTAGACGATTTTGGTGATTCGCCGTTATTATTACTTATGATTAAATTTAAAAGATATATGGAAAGTTCAAGAAATGTCAGTTGAAGGATCATATTGCATGACTTACGTTGCTGTTGTTTGCAACTCCTTATAAATATCCTCTTCCGAAATACTTCTCTCTGTAGAAACTGTTGACTGTACGCTAAATCCACTGAAATGAAGTTTTAAACAGCAATTAAAAAAATGCAAACTCATATAATTTACTACTTACGGTAGATTTGGATGATTAATTTGCACTTTTCGACATAGTGAAAGTTTACTCAAAGTTATTAAAACACGGTGAAAATTAGTTAAGTCATACAACATGCTGCATTCAAATAATTCATTTTCTTTCAACAGGAAGTTGTTTTTGCAGCATTCGAGAAATATCCGTATGTTTTGTAGACAAAGGAACTGAAATCGGGTATAAATTATGTAAGGCTTTATTATCCTTATTGTCTAAATTTGTTGCATGTATGTTATACATATTTTATAAGATTGATCAAAAATTAAGGATATTTAAACCAATGATATAAAAAGCTATGTATTTATCACCTGTGCATCCCTCGGTCTTCTATTGAATTCAATTGATTCCATCGTTGGATCCAGATAATGGATTAAGTTGCACAATAATACTCCATCACGCAGTGTCAATGCTAGAATTTTTATCTCCGATGATGGCCAATTAGCTCTTAAAATAAGAATAAAAGATTTATTTTATGCTCACAAAAAACTTTTAAGACTTATTCAAAAGAGATTAATAATTGATTCATTTTCAGCTAAATGAATAAAACTTAATATGAAAAAGTAAAGAAATTAAAATCGTTTTACTTGTGATCTCCAGGAATAATTTTGCAACGAGTAAGCCATGCTGCACACTCCCTCCATAAGTCGTCTGATAATGCCATTTAATTATTTAAAATGTTTTACTTTATCACTAAAATTTAAAAATATTTCACGAATTTTTTCTTTTATATCTGAGGAAAAAAGGTATCACACAAAATCGCCCACAATTTTTAATTTCCATAAAAACAGCATAAGACTAAACAAATTGATATGTTGCATGCCGACAGTATTATCTTTCATTTCGTCTTTTTTATTATTTGCTGTATGCTTGATGCTTTTTACATTTCAAATCCATCGCAGTCCTTTTATTTTATTCGTTGACAGCAGCTTAGAGCATGCATATCAAAGAGATTCAACATAATAATAAATAGAACTTGATTGTGAAAAGCAGGGTGGGGAGATTTTTTGCGATTTAAATCAAAATCACAGAATTTATTTTTGATTTTGATTTAAATCTCAATGAAAAATGATTTTAAAAAGGGATTTTGATTTAAATCATTTTACCCAAGTGATTTTTTTCTCGATTTTGATTTAAATCATTTTTTCAAAGGGATTTTTTTTGGGATTTTGATTTAAATCATTTTTGCACAGGGATTTTTTTTGGGATTTTGATTTAAATCATTTTTCAAAGGGAGTTTTTTTTGGGATTTTGATTTAAATCTCTTGTATGAAAGATTTTTTTTGGGATTTTAAAATCCCTCATACAAAATTTTTGTATGCAATTTCTCAAATTATTTTTCAAATCAACAGTTTTCAGTTGCAGTTTCTCATAAGTAAGAATGCAGTTGATCCTTTTTCGGACAGAATCTTGCAACTGGATCTTTTAGATCCAATCATATCTTTAATAAAGGTTACAGCAACCAATGGTTCCATGCTGTTTGACTTATACGAAATCCAATTCGTGATTTTTAATCCTCTGTGCCTTGCTGCTTACATTTAAATAACTTGACTTCATCAAGCATGCCTGGATCTTACTCTATATGAGGAACAACCTGCTTTCAATGCTTCCAAAATCTTAAATGTCTTTTATTACAGTACCAAAGTAGTCTACGTTTGTTTAATGAGTCATAAGCAAGAATAAGCACTTGAACTGCCTAGTTCCTTTACATCCACAAAAAATTTTTTTGTTGCTTTTTCATCAAGGAACCACCTCTTGAAATCAAAAAATTTTTGCGGAACTAATCGGTTCCTTTCGTACCTGATGACTACAAAGTATGCTTATCTAATCATATAAGTATAAAGCATGATTTTCAGTCATATTTGATCATCAGGTACGAAAGGAACCGATTAGTTCCGCAAAAATTTTTTGATTTCAAGAGGTGGTTCCTTGATGAAAAAGCAACAAAAAAATTTTTTGTGGATGTAAAGGAACTAGGCAGTTCAAGTGCTTATTCTTGCTTATGACTCATTAAACAAACGTAGACTACTTTGGTACTGTAATAAAAGACATTTAAGATTTTGGAAGCATTGAAAGCAGGTTGTTCCTCATATAGAGTAAGATCCAGGCATGCTTGATGAAGTCAAGTTATTTAAATGTAAGCAGCAAGGCACAGAGGATTAAAAATCACGAATTGGATTTCGTATAAGTCAAACAGCATGGAACCATTGGTTGCTGTAACCTTTATTAAAGATATGATTGGATCTAAAAGATCCAGTTGCAAGATTCTGTCCGAAAAAGGATCAACTGCATTCTTACTTATGAGAAACTGCAACTGAAAACTGTTGATTTGAAAAATAATTTGAGAAATTGCATACAAAAATTTTGTATGAGGGATTTTAAAATCCCAAAAAAAATCTTTCATACAAGAGATTTAAATCAAAATCCCAAAAAAAACTCCCTTTGAAAAATGATTTAAATCAAAATCCCAAAAAAAATCCCTGTGCAAAAATGATTTAAATCAAAATCCCAAAAAAAATCCCTTTGAAAAAATGATTTAAATCAAAATCGAGAAAAAAATCACTTGGGTAAAATGATTTAAATCAAAATCCTTTTTTAAAATCATTGCAAAAAGATTTTGATTTTGATTTTTGATTTAAATCACCCACCCTGGTGAAAAGACAATTATCGATTTAAGTTTGATATCAATACGCTTTCAGAACAAAACTTTAAATTAACTTATTTTGCATTTTAACGTTTTTAATATGCTTCGCGCACATGTTTGAAATGCCCAATTTTTTGGCAAGTAAATGTGTAACGGAATTTTAAAGTTTAAAAAAATATTGAGATATTTACAACAACAAAGTTTCTAAAATATTATTGTGAATTTTAATTATATTATGAATATATAAGACCTATACTACTGACGGAAGTAACAAGAAATCATGGAGGAGTATGTTAATCAACAAAATTTCTATTTAGGGTGTCGTGTATGCAGGCAATTGTTGATAAAAACAAATAGCATCTTTTTTGCAGATCAGGTAAATATAAATTTGAGAAATTTTGTTTGGTGATTAATATTTCTCCTTTATTCACTTCCTTTAGATTCCTGATATGGATGGATTAACTTATTCGGACGCATTTATTGAGTGCACTAATTTAGAGGTAAACTTTAGATCATTATTTTCCTTACAATTAGCATAAATCCCAATAATTTTAGATATCACAAAGTGACGAGTTACCCAAAAGATTATGTTCTGATTGTGCAGCAAAATTGACGATAAGTTATCAATTTCGGAAGCAAGCAGTAGAATCTGATGGACTTCTTAAAAATTACAGTGACTTGGAGAAAAAGGAAGAAAATGAGATGTACGAAAATGCAAAATTTCAGGACGAAGAGATGTTTGAATATGAGACATTAGAGGAACTAGAAGAGAATAGTTCGGACCAATTAAAGAAAGACATTTATCAAGATGACTTATCAGAAGGTACAGGAAACGATGCTGTATCGTTTTTAACTGGTATATTAAAGAAAGCTCCTGACTGTGCTAATCGACAGCATATTGAGATAAAAAAGATTAAATCGAAACCTACTGATGCAGGTTTTGAAGATCCAAATCGCAAGCACGTTTGTAATGTTTGTCATAAAAAATTCCAGAAAAGATCCAATCTTATTGATCACTTGAGACTGCATGCCAACGTAAAAGTGTTTTCTTGTGAGCATTGTGAAAAGTCTTTCGTCCAAGCTGGAAATTTTAAGGCACATTTAAGGACACACACCAAAGAAAAACCTTTTTCTTGTCCATATTGCAGCAAATCATACAGTCAATCAAGCTCATTAAAAATTCATATTAGGTATGTATCATATTTCATTTATTTCTCTTAAATTATTTTATAACAAAAAAAAAATCGATACTTAAACACATTAGGTCGCACACTCAAGAGAAGAATTATGTCTGCGATTTCTGTGAGAAAGGATTTACAAATGCTAGTGATTTGGGAAAGCATAAATTAATTCATGATCCAGTTAAGAAATATCGTTGCGAAGAATGCCAAAGGCCTTTTACACAAAAAATTCATCTCAAAAAGCACTTAGAGAAGCATCATCCAGATATAAGCTTCGAGATAGTAATGAAGAATGAGAAGTTCAAAGATGAAACAAAAATTATATTTGAAGAGTGTTTAGAGGAAACGATCGAAGATGATGAAAATGCAAAGGAAATTGTAGTAATGACAGCATAATCATTTAGTTTTATTATTATGTTTCGGAATTTTCTTATGTTTTTTCAAAAACTTCTCCTTAAAATGTTTCTTGCGATTCGAAAGTTTCACATTTCTTTTACTATTAAGCTGATTTTTCTTTTGTATAATTTTACTCTTTTTTAAGGCCGTTTTTGTTTGTTTCTTAATCTAAAATAAAGAACGAAAAAAGTATGTATAAGTAAATATAAGAAAGAATCTAACATATTTTATATAATGCCTACCAATTTTTTGAAATCCTTTTCAGATTTTATATCTTTTAAGTGTTTTGGTAATTCCCTTTCATTGTCACCCGATTTGGCTGTCTTATCTTCTACCTCCATTCCCGAAATTTTATTGTCATCTTGAGCTTTTTCACTTTCATCGCTATTATTTTCATCATCAGATTCTTTAAATTTCTTTAATCCAATGAATTTCTTATCCTCTTTTGGCTTGCTGATATGAATAGTTACATCTTCAACTTCTTGAATCACAACCCCTTCCAATTCTTCTATTGGTTTGAATGACTGCTTAAATGTATCCTTTAAATTTTTTGATTCATCTTTGATTCTTTTCCGCTCTTCCTTCAACTTAATTTCTATTTCCTCTTTAGCCTTTTTCTGTCGTAACTTCTTACGCTTACTAAATCCTTTCAAAAATTCTTCTCGTTCCTTATTATCGAATACTATTTCATTTTTTAACTTCTTATTTTTAGACTTTCCCATCTTCACTGATTCTTGTAATCTTTAAATATTACTTTAATTCGTTTTGAATCCTTCAAATTAATTTAATTTATCAATTTTTTATAGACAAGAACTTTAAAAGTCGTGCTGATTTGTTTTGTTTACAAATTTTTCGTAGGTTATGTTTTTGTTTTGATTTTAAAATACTCGAAATACCAAAAAAAAAAATTCAAGTGTGAAATCGATAAAAATATAAAACAATTCATAAATCCTAGTACAATGCCAAAAGTGAAGAGCGAAAAAAAGTCGCGAGTCCATAATGAAGTAGCAAAGCAAGGAATTGTATTCAATAAGGATTTTGGTCAGCACATATTGAAGAATCCATTAGTTATAACTTCAATCATAGAAAAATCATGCATAAGACCTACAGATATATGTCTTGAAATCGGTCCAGGTATGAAATGAGCTTATAATGGTAATTGCAATGAAATAAATTACTTGAAATGTTTTAGGTACGGGAAATATGACAGTTAAAATTTTAGAAAAGGCTAAAAAAGTAATTGGTAAGATGAATGTTAAAGATCCAGTGAACGAATAAATGAAAACAATGTTTATTTATAGCTTGTGAAATAGATCCAAGAATGGTGGCAGAACTACAAAAGCGTGTTCAAGGAACGCCAATGCAAGCCAAGTTGCAGATACTAATTGGAGATATATTGAAGAATCCAGAATTGCCATTTTTTGACTTGTGCATTGCTAATGTTCCATATCAGATATCGTCACCTTTAATTTTCAAATTGTTACTTCATCGTCAATTCAGATGTGCAATCTTAATGTTTCAAAAAGAGTTTGCCCAACGACTTGTAGCAAAACCAGGTGACAAGCTTTACTGTAGATTGAGTATAAATACTCAACTTCTTGCTAGAGTCGACATAATAATGAAAGTTGGTAAAAATAATTTCAAACCACCTCCAAAGGTTGAAAGTGCTGTCATTCGTCTTGAACCCAGGAATCCTCCAGTTGAAGTAAATTATACAGAATGGGATGGACTCACGAGAATTGCATTTTTACGCAAAAATAAAACATTAGCTGCTGAATTTAAGCACACATCCGTCTTAACATCCTTAGATCAAAACTACAGACTTCAATGCTCTATTAATAATGTGGTAAGAATTTTTGTTAATAACATTTTATTTCATCATGAGAATAGCAACATTATGTACATTTTTGTGTGATTTATTTCACAGGATGTGCCAAAAGATTTCGACATTAAAAGTAAAGTTGAAGAGATATTAACGACACTTGAAGCTGATAAATTTAGAGCGCGAACAATGGACATTGATGATTTCATGAAAGTCCTTCATGCATTTAATAGTGCAGGCATTCATTTCAGTTAAAGCGCTCCAATTTGAAGGACTGGAATAAAGAAACTAAATGCCTTTTTTACATAAGCTGTTGCATTCGAGCACTACAATAAAAGAAATTTGTAAAGTTTCTCATAAAACATCAGAATAAATATGGATTTACCTCCATGAATACTTCCATAGACATTTTTTTGGTATCTTCGCATGGCTTAGAGTTTGCTATTTTTTCAGAAAATTTACTTGCAACATAGTTAAAAAGACTAAAGTAAATTGACGTGAGCCTGAAAACAATTAATTAATTTAAAAAGTTGTTGATTAAGTTAAGATATTGTCTCTTACTGTATGACTGAATCAACCTCATCTGCCGTAGATCTGTGACTAAGCGAGAGCATCAATTCTGCCATTTTCTGATAATTGTTGAGCGACAATGCACACAACTTTGCCAATGCAACGATGGAATTATTATAAACTTGCTTACAATCTCTCTCTGTATCATCAGCCTCGTCAAATTGTTTATTGAGTTCCAATGAGTAGCTGATAATTTCCTTAAAATTCAAAGCAATACTTAAATCCTCAATTGCTTTTGCCAAATGATCGCCTAAAGTTGTTGTCGTTATTTTATCATTGACAGAGTCTGAATCAGGCAATTCAAATAACTCTTCTACTTCCTTTAACGTTTCGTCCATATCAGCTAAAGATTTTCCAGTAAGTGGCTTCATCAAAAGCTCAATTTTTAATTTAGATTGTTTCGACAATATTTCTAAAGCTTCCAAATAAACTAATCCACTGTACTCTTCAAGCAATTCATGTTCAAACGACACTAATGGCACTTTAATCTCAGAATCTCGAATTTCATTGCCTGTATCAAAATCTTTTGCTTCCTTTAAAATGTCACTCAAATTTGGTCTATTCGAAGAATTCATATTACGAAGCTTGTTTTTAATATTTGGGTCAGTATCTTGAATTATATTCATCGTTTTCTTTCCAATACCTTCTAATGTTTCAAGTCCACCAGTCATAACTTTGGAACTTATTAAACTTACATTTGAAAGTAAGCTGTCTAATTTAAATCCACTCGCTTCATCTCTCAACTTTTGCTCATTATCAATAGACTCATCACTTTTTGTCTTTTTATCCTCAACTTGTATCTTTGCCATTTCTTCAGGATTTGGGATACTGTTGATTGATTCTATTGCAGTAGTTAAAGATTGAGACACTTTGGTGGTAACGCTTGCTACACTTTTACTAGCCGTACTAATCATTTCAAATGCGCCCCAACTTCTCCATGAACTTCCACTACTGGATTTCTTCATTGTCTCACTACTTTCGATTTGTGGCTTAACATCTTCAGATTTTGTTCCTAATAATTGGACAATTATTATTAATTTTTCATTAATCTTACTCTATCTTAATAAATCAATTATATATAAAATACCTTTTGATGGCTTCTGATGATCAACATCCTCGTCAGCACTTTCAAAGTCGTCAGAATCGCTTTCAGGCATTATATTTTAATGAAATTTTACCACAATTTGATGACGATGATTTGATTTGATTTAAATCCAAAGATTTATATTTTTAATCTAGCGGAGACCACAACTAATTGTAAACATTAGTCGAGTTTTTTTCATTATTTCATTATTTAGTAAGAATTTAAATTAAAATGAAAGATTTTCCGGATAAGCATTCGAGGACAGCATGTTGGGATGCACGAGATAAATATTGGGAGTGTCTAGATAAATATGCACCAAATTTCAATAGAAATAATCAGTCTGAAAAGGAGCCAAAAGAATGTGTTGAATTGAGAAAACTTTTTGAGAAACAATGTCCATCAACATGGTATGTATTTTTTATGCTGTAAATCAATCAATCAATAGCCTTAATTTATTTTTTTATAGGGTCAAACATTTCGATAGAAAGAGAACTTATGAATTATTCAAAATTAGAATGGAAAAGGGATTTGATCCATTAGAAGAGCAAAAAAATAAAGGAAAAATGTAATATGTTTATCCAGTTTGTTTTTATTCTTACAATATATTAGACTCTTAAATAAATATAGTAGAAATATTCCAATAAATTATAAAATTTCTCCTTGATTAAATACATCGACTTCAATCTTCTTGATTGCGCACTTCTTAATTATTACTAATCCAAGATTTCTAGCTTCACTGTCTAAACTTCGGAATTCCGAACACATCCCAAGGATCACATTAGCATCACGATCAGTACATAAGAACAGTCCAATTAGCTTTCGTCCATCAATCATCTCAATACGAAAATTCCTATTTAGCCAGCTTTTTAATTTATTCCTTCCATTTGAATCCTTAAGAAATCATTCATTTATTTATTGATTACTGATAATAATAATAGCATACTGCTTACTTTTGCTTGGTTCTGTTCGATTTGGGATAATTTTTCGCTGTTAATCTGCTGAATATCTTCGGTTAAAAACATTATTATTTTTTCAATAGTCTGAAAATGTTTTTGAGAATATTTTTATTGCGTTGTTTACCCCTCTTAATATTTTGAATTTTAACGAACATAGTTGGAATCAAGAATTATCATAAAAGGATAAAAGGATTTTTTGATATTTGTTTAAAATTGCATACTTTAAAAATTCAAAAACTCAGTCTTTGAAGAATCAGATCAAATTTTACCAACGCTCTTAGAACAATTATGTTCTTTCCCTAATAACAATAACTTACTCTCGTGAGAATCTTTGTGATCTCAATCAAGACTTGAATTTCAAGTTCTCCATGTGTTGTGTAACGTAAAGTTTTCAAACTCATGTGAGCATGATATCTGATCTAGATCTTCATCAGGCTCAGATCTAGACAATTAAGACATACTTTTGTGAGATTCTTACTGAGCAAACTCAAGATCTTAATCTAAAATACTTGATATATTATAAGACATAAACTCTTTAAGCTTTTATAACCATGACATCTGATCTTACTAACAGAAAAACTTTGTAGAAAAAAAAACTCTTTTGAATTATTTGATCCAAATGAGTTTTCGTTTTTTCACAACCAGGATTATAAAACTTCACAACCTGGATTGTGAAATAGGTAACGTGGTATCGTCTCGATGATCGCGATCGTTTGGCTTATCAAGCTCAGATCTAGCTCTTTGTAAGTAAAACTACTTACTACTATATTGAGAAAGTTTTTATGTAACATGTATAGTTTTTCGCTCAACCTAGATTAATACTGGGGTCCTCGATTTGAGGAGTTGTTTTCTTCCTAACATACAAAATCAAATGTTTTGTTCCAAAGTCCAAAAAGGTATCAAAACAATGAAAATTTTGCAAACTCTCCCTCGTTTCTTAACATTTCTTATGTGTTTTAGATAACTTAATTTATTTCAACGCATATTCAAATCGAAGAAAACAGGAAGAAATCTACTCAAATCGAATATTTTGGTGGATGGAAATTTTACATAGGTTTGACTTTAATACATGATTCAATAATTCCCAATGCTTAACATAACATGTTGCGCTAGCAAAACTTTTTTCAATCATGTTGTTTTCCCCCCTTACAATATCCTAATGTCCCTTGACACTCAGTTGGAAAATCATGATGAAATTTGGTAGGAACAATTATTATGAAGACTAGCGTATCGGGTAGAAACCCAATTCGGATATATTCGAACCGTACCATCAAAAGTCTTGTGGAAAGACGTGAAAGACCAAGCTTAGCTCAGTATTAATTTAAAAATATAAATCCTGACGAACCAGCTGAACTGTGCTCAGTATAAGTTTGAAAGTATAAAGCTGAACGAACATTCTTTAAAAGTTTTTTAAAAAAATTTTTCATCCAAAGTTTAATTTCATAAAAATCACAGTCAACTTTTGTTTTAAAAAATTCGTAAGAAAGGAAAGATTTTTGCTTTTTCTGAAGCAACGGCTGTTCCTACCTTGCCCAAAAACAATACAGCTCTTCTATTGAGCAGCACGGATCAAATGTAAAAAACTAGAAGTCTCTACGATGTCTCGTTATTGAGATTTCTTGCTGATTAACTTGCTTGTTTGCTTACAGAAAGAGTATTTTACGATTTTCTCAGTAATGCCACAACCAATTTGAAATCTGATTTTTGCAAATGATGTAAAATTTCAGGCGCAAACTTTACTTTACTACGGTGCGAATATATCCGCATTGGGTTTCTACCCGATGCACTAGTTTTGTTGTTAAAAAAGTTAGAGGAAAACAAAAATTCTTTTTGAATACGTTGCAAACTTTATAACTTTAAATTACTTTGCTACACGAAATTTTGATGTAATTAGTCGACATGTAACATTTTTGCAAGAAATAATGACCCTTAAAATTTAAGTCTATCATAAGAAGAGAAAAAAATCATCGAATATGATGTAGTTTAATAAAACTATACGATCGACATTTGGGCAGCATCTTATCTGCACTTTATACGACAAAAATCATCTGCATTATACCTTTTTAAACCAGCAGCATTTTATCTGCATTTTAAGAAAAATAAATTTCATCTGCACTTTAGCAGTACCATCTGCATCTTTGCAGTACTATAATATGCAGATTAGGGTAGCTGCATTTTAGGAATTTTTAGATTGAGGTTATAAAACCTAGATATGTTTAAAAATGCAATTTGAAGCATTTTTGGTTTCGATCATAGTCGGCTTTTTTCAAAAAAAATATCAATTTTATATCTATATTAGCATTCTTTATCATTTTTAATACCAAGATATGTTTTAAAATGCAATTTAAAGCATTTTTGGTTTTGATCATAGTAGGCTGTTTTCAAAAAAGTATCAATTTTTATATCTTTATAAGCATTTTTTATCATTTATAATATCTAGATATGTTTTAATATGCAATTTAAAGCATTTTTGGTTTCGATCATAGGAGGCTATTTTTTTAAAAAATGTCAATTTTATATCTATATTAACATTCTTTATCATTTACAATACCTAGATATGTTTTAATATGCAATTTAAAACATTTTTGGTTTTGATCATACCCGAACATACAAAGAGTAAGCTCAGAAAAGTGAGCATATAAGTGAGTCTACTCAAAAATTATACTCATGCAAGCTCATTCAACTGAGCATGCTCAGGAGTTCATTACGAATGTACTCACTTTATTTTTTTACAAAAACTTTATAAGCTCACGTGAGTGCATTCAATAAGTATACTCTTGAGAATATTAAGAACATACTCATGTGAATTCACTCATATGAGTTCACTTACTGAATGTGCTCATGAGCATATAATGAGCAAACTCACTTCTGTGTCACAAAATTTTTTTTATATTCTCATATGAGTTCACTTACTGAATGTACTCATGAGCATATAATGAGCAATTTTTTTTATATTCTCATATGAGTGCACTTACTGAGTTTATTCAAGAGCAAATTGTGTACCTTTTTTAAAAAAATGTCAGCTAAATCGAAAAGTTAAAATAATGAGTTTTTAAGGAAGCTGTCATTTTTTAAAAATGTCAGCTAAATCGAAAACGTTAAAATTGGTGCTAAATAAGATCCAAACTTCAAAGAACTTAGTTCGCCTGTAAAAATATAATAATTTAAGTATGTGTTATGCCATATATAAATTATTATAAATTTACAGACAATAGCTCCAAGGAAAAGTGTGAGATGACAGAAGTTAAGCAACGCAGAAGATGTTTCAACAAGGATGGGTGACCAGATTTATATGTTTCAATTCTAAGGATTTGGGATAAAATATTAATAATTTCTAACTCTTTCAAAATTATTCACCGAAATAAACGGAACAGTACTTAATTTCAGCTAATCTATAATACTCAAATTTAGCTTAATTAATTTTTTGAATTTTGCAACTTCACTTGAGTGCACTCATGAGTGTGCTCAGATGAGCATATACTCATAAATATACTCACTAAGTATATATTCTTTGGGTACGTTTATGAGTATGTACTCTTTGGGAATATTAATAAGTATGTACTTTTTGAGAATGTTCATGAGTATATTCAATAAAAATGTTACATGAGAAAAATGTTGCATGTGACATGTCACCTTCTCATTTGAGTATGCTCATGAGTTTACTCAATGAGCTTAATACATGTCACATAGGAATGTGCTCACTGAGCATGCTCAAGAAGGTACCGTAAGCGCATCACTGAAATGTATAAAAATGAGCACATTCTCACAAAGGCTAATAGGCTCACAAATAATGTGCTCTGAGCGTGCTCATTGTGTGTTCGGGATTGATTTAAGATCATTTGCACAAATTGCTTTGTCAGTTTGAGCAATTTCTGTGAAGTTCTGGCAGATTTGCAGTCGAAAATGTTAAAAAGAAGCTACTTTTGCACTAGGTTGCTTCATAAATTCACTGTATCTTTGAAATAATGTTATATAAATTTTTTGTCACGTTTTATTGATTTAAGATCATTTGCACAAATTGCTTTGTCAGTTTGAGCAATTTCTGTGAAGTTCTGGCAGATTTGCAGTCGAAAATGTTAAAAAGAAGCTACTTTTGCACTAGGTTGCTTCATAAATTCACTGTATCTTTGAAATAATGTTATATAAATTTTTTGTCACGTTTTATTGATTTAAGATCATTTGCACAAATTGCTTTGTCAGTTTGAGCAATTTCTGTGAAGTTCTGGCAGATTTGCAGTCGAAAATGTTAAAAAGAAGCTACTTTTGCACTAGGTTGCTTCATAAATTCACTGTATCTTTGAAATAATGTTATATAAATTTTTTGTCACGTTTTATTGATTTAAGATCATTTGCACAAATTGCTTTGTCAGTTTGAGCAATTTCTGTGAAGTTCTGGCAGATTTGCAGTCGAAAATGTTAAAAAGAAGCTACTTTTGCACTAGGTTTCGTCATAAATTCACTCTATCTTTGAAATAATGTTATATAAATTTATTGTCATGTTTTATTGATTTAAGATCATTTGCACAAATTGCTTTGTCAGTTTGAGCAATTTCTGTGAAGTTCTGGCAGATTTGCAGTCGAAAATGTTAAAAAGAAGCTACTTTTGCACTTTTTTTTTTTTTTTTAAATTAAACTTTTTATTTATTTACATTTAAATTTAAGTATGTACAAAGTTTCTATACATTTTGTGGCTTTTTGTTTTAAGGTTTCAGGCATTCAATTTGCCTTTTGTCTCTTAATTTTGATTTTATTTATGGATTTTACTTTCTTTTGTATTTCATTTGATTTATTCGGTGTATTGAGATGCAAGACGACTTGCAACTTTCCGACGTAGTCTTCGATGGACGGTATTTTTGCTTCTGTATGAAGATCGGTGATCCTTTCATATCTTGTTTTATTGAGAACAATTCTCAAGAATTTGTTTTGCAGTACTTGAAGTTTTTGAAGGTGGGTTTTTGCCATGCTTCCAAACGCTGGACAACCATATGTGAATATTGGTCTGATGGCTAGCTTGTAGATGAGAAGTTTGTTTCGTACGTCGAGTTGTGAGTTCCTGCTGATGAGCGGATAAAGCTGTCTTAATGCGGTGTGAGCCCTATTGGTCACATACTCCACATGCGGCTTTAATGTCACT